TACTTGTGATCTCTATCAAATAAATAAATTAAAAAAAAATCCGGTACTACTTCTTCCTGTCATTTATAGAAGTTTAACCAAATAATTACTTATGGAATTATTTTCTTACTTCCTTGTGGCCTTCCCTGCTAAGCAGTAAGCTTCATGAGAAGAGGACCTGACTTGTTTTGCTTATTTTCCCCTAGAGACAAACACAGTGATCTGCATGTCAAAGAGGTACTAGTATTAGAGTAAGAAAGATAAAGTAGATAGGATTCCTTTACTAGGTAGGCATCTTCCATTAAAAAACAAAAACAAAAACAAAAAACTCTTTCATTTTCCCTAAGTAATATTATAGTCCTTAACTTCTAAAGACCACCTCTACAACCTTCTACACAGCAGCAATATTTTTAATCAAATTCAACTGTGTAGGACTATTTTTCTCTTCTAAAATCAATAGAATTATCTCTGACTTCCAACACCAGACTTGTTTGATTACATGAAAATCACCAGGACCATGGCCAGACCCATGTTCCACCATTCACTGTGGCAGTGAACAGCCCTGAAAGCTACAAGAGAAAACAAAGAGGTCATATGGAAAATCTTCTTCTGGAAAATGGCATAAGATTTCCCTTCTGCATGCAGGGTTTGTGTGTATTTTCCTTCAAGAGTAAAAATTAAACTTGATAACTAGCAACTTTCAAGTATCATAGTTGTTACTTATAGAATGGGAAAGAATGACTTTTGCAAGCTAAAATTTAGAAGAATGGGAGCCAGATGTGGACACAAACCTGCTGTGTTATATCTAATCCAGGAAAGCTGACTCAATGTTACTCAATGTTACTATTCCTTCATGCCAGGCAAAGTCACACGAAAAGGAGTAACTTCTCAATTCACCTGTCTTAGAATAATTGAACCACTGTTATAAAGCTGATTATACTAAGACGCTAGAAGATAGAACTTCAGCACATATGGGGCCTGACAGGAAGATTTTTTTTTTTTAAGATTTTATTTATTTATTTGAGAGAGAGACAGTGAGAGAGAGCATGAGAGGTGAGAAGGTCAGAGGGAGAAGCAGACTCCCCACGGAGCTGGGAGCCCGATGCGGGACTCGATCCTGGGACTCCAGGATCATGACCTGAGCCCAAGGCAGTCGCTTAACCAACTGAGCCACCCAGGCGCCCCTGACAGGAAGATTTTTAATGCCTGGGCAAGAGGGAAAGGAAAAGAAAGGGAAACCAAAAACAAATGATATCTGTGTCTCACATGATTACCACACTTACTACACATTCCAGACTCCCTCAGTGGAACCACCCATCATGTAGAGCCATTTAGTTCAAGCTCCTAAGATGGCAGTAGGAACTACTGTTAAGACAACTAGGGAAGAAAAAAATCATTCAGGCATCTATCTATCTTTCTTTCTCTCTCTCTCTCTCTCTCACCCTTTCTTTCTTTCTTAGATGTATTTATTTTTAGAGAGGAGGGGTAGGGGTAGAGGGAGACAGAATCTTTGAGCAGACTCCACACGGCACAGAGCCCTTGGTGAGGTTCAATCCCACAACCCTGAAACCATGACCTGAGCTGAAACCAAGAGTCAGATGCTCAACTACCTATGCCACCCAGGTGCACTAGAACATTTGCTTTTCAACAAATATAGAGTACACTGAGATGCAGGGGTAAAAACCCTGGCACTCTGACAATTTTGGAGAATTTTTTTTCCCTTTGTCATGTCTCTCACCTTTCTCTTCTGGAGCTACAACATGGCATACTAGGTCAAAGGTAACAATTTCCAAAGAAACATCTACAGAGGTCTTTATGTACCTGGTTCTACAGATGTAGGTGTGTCCTAGATGAGCAGCAGTACCTTCTCTCCCTCCTAAAGTAAATATTTATCACCACAATAGGGTAAAGTACTCCATTGGAGTTTGATCATGCCAGTCTATGAGGACACATGTAAAAATAAAATTCATGCAACCAGAGATACTGCAATGGTGAAATAATGACCACAAGGCACTTGATGCCTTATGATAACATTTAGTTTATTGGGTCTTTTTGTTTTTGAGCTTCCAAAAATATCAAGCAATTCAATCTGCTGAAATAAAGTACTTCTTAGCATTAGCATATCATCAGCCTATCAATATTGATCATTTGTAAGTTAGCTTCACTCTAATAAAGTTTCTATGCCTTTCCTTATTCAACTATGCACAATAACCTCTTATGGAATGGAGAGTAATTACAAATAACTCTTTAAAAGAAAATCAGTATCTGGATGCCTGGGTGGCTCAGTTGGTTAAGTGTCTGTCTTCAGCTCAAGTCATGGATTGAGTCTGCACTGGCCTCTTTGCTCAGCAAGAGTCTGCTTCTTGCTCAGCAAGAGTCTGCTTCTTCCTCAGCACCTCCCCCTGCTCGTGTGTGCTCTCTCTCTCTCTCTGACAAATAAATAAAATCTTAAAAAAAAAAATCAGTATCTTCCAAATATTCCTGATCTGAAAATATGTTTCATCAAAGATTAAGGACACCATGGAAGAAAATTAAGTAATTCCTACAGTTAAAGGAAAATAGCATTTGCGTCAGTTTATCGAATCTCTTAGAGGCTTAGTTTTTAGGTTGTGTGTCTCTAAGCCAACACAAACATTATTTGAAGAAAATATCTGTCCTTTTGCCATTAAGAGATGGGATTATTGTCTGTGAAGGCAAGTGTTCGTAAAAAGATCATTTTTATATTATGAGGATTTTATAAATACTTAGAATTATCATAAATCCTTTCTTACACCTTCATCCTATTGGCTCCATCTCTAAGACATAATCTTTTTTTTATTAGCTTTTATTATTAGGATACATAAGAAAGATTTCTTAACCTCTGTTGAGTAAGTATATGCTTTTATCCCTAGTTTCCTCTTTGCCTAGTTTTCATGAAGCTCAGAGTGTAACCTCTGCTCCATATTTCATAAATACGCAGGACTCCAGTGCATGCATTTCTTCCTATTTACGTCTCAGATTACTTAAGTCTTATTTTATTCTTGATACCCTTATCTTTATTTTTCAAGCTTTATTATATTATGTTATTTTACTTATTTTTTAAAAATATTTTATTTATTTATTTATTTATTTGAGAAAGAGAGACCAAGCGGGAGAGGGAAAGGGGTAAGCAGACTCCCCAGTTAGCACGGAGGCTGATCTGGGGCTTATCTTAGGACCCTGATCTGATCCTAATCATGATCTGGGCAAAATCAAGAGATGGATGACCAATCGACTGAGCCACCCTATACTTTGTTATTTTAAATAAAATAATTCACTATCTTTATGAAATGAAATAGGATATCTTGCTTAGGAATGCAAAAAATTAAATACTAGATTATGTAAAATACTTTCCTAAGTATTGTATCATTTATTTATCCATTAACAAAATGATACAGATTATTAATGATAATAGTGGAAGTTGATCTGTCCTAAATGGAATCTTAAACAACAATAGAGAAGACTAGATTAGAAGAACATCCTAGAGGTCTGAAAATAAAATCTCAAGCTTCTTCTGTCAGTTTCCCATACTTTCTCTTTTAATGACAGTGAAACAAAGGTAAAAATAAAACCCAAATAACTTGATTATGGTTGTGCACAGCACACAATATAATTTAATCAAGTAAAAGTTATTTCCCAAAACATACAGTCATCCAAGATGGGAGGAGAAAGTGACAGGACAGACTACCTGGTGCCTGACCTTAGTGATCACCAGGAACTCATCAAGAGGCAAACCGTAGGTAGCAATTATTTGCCAAGCTCCCTTCTGGATATTCACTAAACAGTTTCATGTCTATGTCTTTTACGTTGGCCCACCAGGAACAGAATTTACACTCAACATTTCTCAGTCTCCTTCTTGCATCCATGATACCAAATATAGGATGTTTCCAACTCAAATTTCACATTCACGCATTTCCTTCTCGTCACTGGAGTTTAACATAGAATCAATTCTAAAAACGCCCTTAAATAGTCTTTACTCACTCTTGAGACATAGCTGTGTGTAAACAGCAGAGTCAGCAACAGTAGAGTCCACAACAGTAGGTGCAAAATATTAAGGTTTCCCAACCTCGGCACAACTGACATTTGGGGCCAGATGATTCCCTGTCACATGTGGTGGTGGTGGTGGGGGGGTGTCCTGTGCATTGTAGGATGTTTAGAAGCAACTATAGCCTCTACCAACAAGATCAGAAGCAACCTATTCCCCAGTATGACAACCAAAAATATCTCCACTGGAGCAAAATCACACGTGGTTGAGAACCACTGGTCTACAATCCAATTTCTTATATAAGCTGTAGCCGATTTCTTCATACACTGCTTATGGGGAATCTACCAGGTAGGCTGAATTAAATAAATAGGATTAACTCTTTATCACACAATTATATAATATTATGGTTCTGAGTCACTTTATTATTGCAATTTGCTTTGAAGACCCCAAGCCAACCGTTCAAATATTCAGAAGAAACCCCATGCTAGATATCTTCTTTTTCCATACCACTCTGACCTACCCATATCTCTCTTACTAGATCTTTCTAGTGTCTATTTTAAATTGGGTGTGAAAAGAAATGGCTGGTTTCTCAGCCCTTTATGAAGATTTTGGAAAAGATTATTTGGTATTTCTTCACTGAACACTGAACCATTATGGTTCTGTTAGCATTTAAGCTTTCTGAATAATGTCTGTTTTCCAAACCTTCTTTTACCCAGGATGAATTTTCAAATTATTTCTTTGAATGTTACCCATTTAACTTTGAAAATCGATCTTTACAATCCCAATCATACTAGTTCATGTCACTTTAAACCTCTGTAAGAAACTGTTTTGTAATTTTTAATTTATGACATTTAAGTTTTCCACTAAAAAGCTGTACCTGTTTCTGAGGGGATTCTCAGATTTCTAACCTAGGAATCTATTGGTCTAATTTCTTCCTTTGGATTATCATTCGGATCTTCCCTTGGAAGATCATCAGATGTATGGCAGAAAAATAGAAACCAATTAAAAATACACATACTTGCTCCAGTGGACTTTGCCTTCCAGTGTCTGCATCTCACCAAGGATAGCAAGGAGAAGAGAAGACTTTCCACATCCCACTTGACCCACAATCATGGTCAACTGACCTAGGGAAATTAAAACAGGGTTAAGAACAGGAGGACATGGAATCCTCTTAGTAAAACAAAACCAAAATACATTTAGAAAGAATGATGTTTCAAAATCAATGGCCCACTTTTGGTCTCCAGCAATAAGGTATTTATTTGACATAGCTCCTTTCTCTGATACACAAGTTTTTTTGAAAATGGAGAGAAAATTTAAAAGATAATAGGTCTTGCTTTACTGTTTCCAACTATGAGAATAGCTGAGATTAATGAAGAGAGCAATGAAATATTTGCCTAAATAATCTCAATTAGTTTTATTATTCAATTCATTCAGGAGAAAGCAGTTTTGACTCAAATTGATAATTGGGATGAAAGGGATTTAGGCTGGCATTAAGACATCTTCTCTAATTTCAGACTTTGATATGTATGTAAAATAGAAAAATCCCAACCTATTTTCTATCAGGCCAGCTCAAAAATGAATTTTTATTTAATTACCTAGACATTTTAAATAAAAATTATTGAGCATTTGAGCCTTAAATATCTTGAAAACTTTAGTTGTCTTCCAGGATAGAAAATAATTCTCTTATGTGGTCTTTCTTTAAATCCTTTCTCAAACAGAACAAAAAATCAACTATCCCATTACTTAAATGGACAAATCAGCAAATGAGCTGATAACAGCTTATTTAGACAGTTGATAGCTTATCCAGTGTCTATACACTCTGTAGTGAAAAGCATTTCCAGCTATTTCCACAATGATACAGTGGCTCGTGAGCTACATGGTGCAAAAAAACAACTATAGATAATGTTTATAATGTTTAAAAAGTCTTTTGTTGTTGTTGTTGTTGCTGTTGTTAAGATCAATTATCTTGGATATCCATAGTTTTGGTAATTAACAATTTAAAAACTGAGTAACAAATGACTTACCTGTTGGAATTCGAATATCTATATTGGATAATGTAGCTAAACCACTGCCCCATGAAAAGTAGCCATTTGTGACCTAGAAAAGAACACATAAATTAAATTATGAAACCATGTATATATTTTGTGTTAGAGAATAATTCCAATTAAAAGCATTTTCTCTTTAGAACACTGAAAGACTTTTAGTACAAGGTAGACCACATAGTGGTGAAATTCTAATTTATAGTTTTAGCTATTGAGAGGTATAAATGAAGAACAAAAAAGAATGGAAGTGAAAGGAGGGTCTTTGAATTAGTGATATTATAAATAGGAGGAAAATTCCAATTTTCTCTGAGAATTTGGGATTGCTAGATCATTTACATGAGAGCATTCTTAAATAACATTCATCCCAAATATTTTTTTAATTGATTACTTTCTCATTGCTAGGTAATTCCCAGAATTCTGGCAATGTAAGTTATAGAGTGGAAATAATGACAAATGATTCCAACAAAATGACTGTTACCAAGGAGGAAGTTTTTGTAATAAAGGAGTTTCCTGAACTGTGTGGATTAATCTCTATTCAATGAAGTTAAAACAAAGAGTAAAAGGAAGAGAGGAATAAAGCACAAAAATGAGGTAACATCTATTGGTGGGATAAACCCTCAACAACCAGCAAAAAATCACAAGATCTGCAGTCATCTAAAGCAATCTAACAGGCATGAAGTAGATTTGATAGTTTTAATAGTTACAAAAATGGGAAACAAAAGAGGTACAAGAGAACCAAAGGACTGAGATTGCTTGAAAAGACGAGATTGCAATTTTCCACATAAGTTTTCTCTAGCCTGTTAAATGCAGGACATTGAGTAATATCTATCGCATAGATGCACATGAAATTAGTCCTCGGAGGAGGGTGGCATGGAAGGGATGCCTTTCTGATTGCTTTACAAATATTTGCTGAGCACCCACTCTGTGTGAGGTGCTGCGTTCATATGGATGTAGGCTACAAAGAAGGTACAACGTCTCCTCCCTGCTTGCTTGGAGTTGCAGCCAGCTGAGTAGATAGACCATGGACAGGAGCAAGTATAGTGCCAGACAGTGTAGGCTGAGTAACAAATAGAGGGGACGGGCAGACACTAAGTAGAACAAAAGGAAAACCATTCACATTTCAAAAAGAAAAACACTGATGTCTGAGATGGGGTTTAAAAAATATTTTTGGAAGAGGAGGTCTTTGAGCTAGTTTTGAAAAATATATTGAATTACAATGAAGGCATTTGGGGGTAAAGACCTACATATACAAATAGGCGCAGATCAGGAAACTATGAAACATATTCTGGGAAATAAAGACTAGAGCTGGCTGGGTCAGAGTATCATTTATGATATTGTGATATCAGAGTATGATATCAGAGTATCATTTATGATACTGTGGCTAACTGACAAATGATGCTGCAAGAAATTAAACAGCCTGAGGAGCCCTGTTTCTCTGAGATGCAAAGTGCTGCAAATATGCCTGGGTTTGGAAGCAGGCCAGTGTGGAGCTGAGAAAGGCCCTCCCTGATAATTTGTGTTTTCAGTGGAGTGGGAGTGAAACGTATCTGCAGAGAGAAGAGGTCAAAGGGGACATGGAAGGAGGTGAGAAGACAGTGCTGAAAGCAGAAGAGCCGTGGGAGGCTATGGAAACAAATGCTGACAGGAGGCATGCAGAGGATCGCCAGGAACTACTGAGGGGCAGCGGAGTGGGGAGATACTAAATGTGTGGTTTTGCCAATGGGCCCATTGTATCTTTCTTCCATAGTGCTCAGTGGTCTGTTTCAGGAGTGTCGCAGGCATGATGTGGGATTGATTATGGAAAGTGCTAGAAGACTGAGGGAAAAAGAAGGGGCTTAATTTGCTGGAGGTCTCTCTCGGTAAGGTTAAAAAGCAATGTCAGCAAAGGTGAGGCCTGAGAGAGCTGCAGGTAGCGTTCTGTTGTCAGTGTCAATGCCTGACACAATATAGAGTTTAAAATTTTGGAGGAGCGGCAGTTCCCGATGGTGGCCAGGTGTGGCCTCAGGCAAGGTTGTAGAAATGGAGAGCAGGAGAAGACATTTCTGGGCTGGGATACTAAAGAACTGTACACTTGTAAGGTTAAATCACATCCATGCATGGCACCAAATAAGCCAGAGGGATGGACAGGGAAACAGGCACCCAAGTCTTCAGCAACAGTGCGGGGTGATTATGAGGTCCTCTAACAAGACATGTGAGAAAGGTAGACAATGCCAAAATTTCACAAAGTTGTGAGAGATGAAAAGATATGGTCTGAAAGCAGCAAGGAAGGAGCTGGAAGAATACAGTATTGCTACACAGAAGTAAAAGAGGAAACTACCTCCTTTCGAGAAGGATGATGGAAGAGGGTCAAAGTTAATCTCTCCTGCGGCAATCTGCACATCCACTTCCTCCTGCCTTTTACAAAATAGTCTCATGTCTCCACCAGGGTTAAAATCCTAGCCTTCCCTAAATAGTTGTTTGACCTTGGAAAATCAGGCAACATATACATTTTTGCAAATGTCCATAAAAGGGTAAATACAAAAACGATCATCATAGAATCGTTTGTGAAAGAGGGAAGATGGAGGCAAAGCCAGTGTCCATCCCTAAGGGTAAGGAAAATACAATGATGCATACTAGAGAACACAGTAGTGTTGTAAGAAGGAGCAAACCATTATGAAAACATTTCAGGAGACTGAGAGTACATAGATGTTTATTATGTATTTTACAAGGATATGAGTATATTTAGGCACACATATTGAGCCCATTAGAGCTTGTACCATAATGACAGTGGCACAGAATAGGAGTGGGTATCAGAGATAAGGGGAAAGAATGTATTAAAAGTATAGGAAGGAACCAGACAGATGCAAGTTACCTATTACATGATCCATTTATGTAAAATATCCAGGATATATAAATCCACAAAGACAGAAAGCAGATTGGTGGTTGCCAGAGGAAAGAAAGAGGGGTAAGTGGGGAGTGACTGCTTAATCGGTATGGGATTCCCATTTGGGGTGATGAAAATATTTTGCAATGGGAGAGAGGTGCTGGTTGCATAAAATTGTGAAGGTACTAACTGCCACTGAGTTGTTCACTTTAAAACAGTTAATTTTATGCTATATGCATTTTACTTCAATTAAATAATTTTTAAAAATTAAAGGCAGGACATTACACAGACCATCATCCATTTCCTCCTGGTAAAAATAAGTATAAATGCTGAATAAAATGTAGTTTGTAAATAAGATCATTAAAACAAGGAGTAAGGAAATACCAAGTCCAAATATAAATAAAAGGACAAATTCAGAGCTGTAAGTCCTGAAGCACCTAGGCCTCTTTCCCACAAAAGGGACAAGAATAGCTAAGATATTTTGGAAGAAAAACAATAACGTACAAGAACTTGTCCTAAAATATATCAGCGTTTATTAGAAAGTTATAATGATCATAACAGTGGAATCTGAGAGAGAGAAACCAATGGAAAAAAAATAGAGGCCAGCAATCAGTCCAGACATATAAAGATCCCTGAAGTGTGGACAAGACTACACTGACTGTCGGAGGGGACAGTGACCAGTATGAGGGACTGGGACAACAGGATGTCATATAAAAAAGTAAATCAGACCTTACTGACTCACTGTGGAATGTAGTAAAGTTACTGCCACTAAATTTACTACTGCTAAATTTCAACCAAAATTATTTGTTCCTGATTTCCCCACTATATCACATCCCTACTTCATACCAAACACAAAGAGGGATCCTAGGTCGATTCCAGAGCTGAAAGTGAAATGTGTAGCTTCAAAGACTTTAGAAGCTAATATAAATCATCTTCTTGACCTCTGGTAGGGAAAGTTTTCTTAAATGAGACAAAAAAAAACCAGTCATAAGGAAAAAGTTATATAAACCAGACTACACTAAAATTAACAACTTCTGATATGATAAAGCCAAGCTTTAAATGGAAGAAGAGTTCTGTAACATATAACTGCCAAAACAGCTGAAGTATAAAGTATAAAGAAGTAGTCCTCAGCATTTTTTAAAGGGGGAGGGAACCCATAAGCTGGCAAGTCACAAAAGAGGAAATCGAAACCCACATGGCCAAGGTATACATGAAAAGATGCTCAACCTCGGTAGAAATCAGAAAAGTAAATAAAAGTAAATAAAAACCACAAGCTACAACGGCACCTCCTCATGTACAAACTTTGGCAAAATATTGGAAGCCCTGGTGAAGACGTGGAGCAACCGATCCTCTCTCAAGGGCCCTTGGTGAAAGTGTCCATTGGCACAACCACTTGGGGAAACAGTTTCCTGTTATCTGGGAAAGGGGAGGATGTACAGACCCCATGACCCGGCAGTTGTTCACAATAGCCCCAAGTGGGAAAATAGCCAAAAGCCCATCAAAAGTAGAACAGAAAAAGTTCGGCATATTCATACACTGAAATGCTATCTGGTCATGAGAACGAACGAGTCACTTGATGATCTGGATGAACCAGACATCCATAATGAGCAAAAGAAGCAAGACGTACACACATCCATGCACACATTTAAACTTAACTAAAATATGTTTTTAGGGAGGCATGCATAGCAGGGGTAATCAAGGATATGATGACCATTAAAGTCAGGGTGGCGACTGTTTCTTGGAGAGATAGGAGAGGGAACAGGAAATGTGTGTGTTGGGAGGACCTTCGGAGGGAACCCGTGATGCTCTTTTCTTGCTGGTCCCATAGGTGGAACTTTTTCATTAAATGGTTCATGTATATTTTATGTAGTTTTCTGGATGCATGTTCAATTTCAGAATAAAAAACAGATTTCAGGGGCGCCTGGGTGGCTCAGTGGGTTGAGGCCTGTGCCTTCAGCTCAGGTCATGATCTCAGGGTCCTGGGATCGAGCCCCGCCTCAGGCTCTCTGCTCAGCGGGGAGCCTGCTTCTTCCTCTCTTTCTCTCTCTCTGCCTACTTGTGATCTCTACCAAATAAATAAATGAAATCTTTAAAAAAAAAAAAAATTTCAAAAAGACAAACGAGTTATTACCAACTTGAGAATTTCCCCCATGAATAAAAACTTAAAGGCTTGATGGTGGGCCTGAAACTGCAGTGCCCATTGCTAAGCAGTTTTTCAAGTTTTTTGTTTTTGCTTTTTTTTGCGGAGTTTTTTGTTTTGCTTTGTTCTGTTTTGTTTTGGTGCATGAAAGGTCGACTTTAAAAAAACAAATGAGAGCCTCAGGGTTTTTTTTTTACATTCAAAATAAAAACAAATTTAGTAAGGCACATGGGAAAGATATATTTTTAGATTCTTACTATATTGAATAGAAAATGTCAATTAAAACAAAGACCGATCCTGTTTCTGCAGTCACGTGTATATTACTCGTTATGTGGCATAATTGGAAGTATGAAGCACAGAGGGCCCTTCATCGTCTCTCATTCCAGACTTTGTCATAGCCTAGTACTTTACATCCTATCCACACGTTATAATTATTAGGGAACTACTATAACTATTGTCTTCGGTGATGCCGGGGTCATATTCATACACACACACTCACACACACACTGTTAAAAGCTATCTGGGTGGGCGCCTGGGCGGCTCAGTGGGCTGGGTCTCTGCCTTCGGCTCAGGTCATGATCCCAGAGTCCTGGGATGGAGTCCCGCATCGGGCTCTCTGCTTGGCAGGAAGCCTGCTTCCTCCTCTCTCTGTCTCTCTGCCTACTTGTGATCTCTCTTTGTCAAGTGAATGAATAAAATCTTAAAAAAAAAAAAAAAAAGCTATCTGGGAGATCCTAATGTACAGCCATGGTTAAGAATCACTAAAGCTCTTTAAAATTTATACGTGACACTTTTTATCCTCGAAACAACCATGCTAAAGTAGCATTTCCACCTTAACAAGGGCAAACCATAGCTCAGAGAGGCAAAGTAATTTGCCCAGATGTCACACATCAAGTCAATGGCAGAAGTTGGGTTAACATTTGCTTATTCTAGCCAATCCCACATTTGCTCCAACTGCTAAGTGCCTACTGTGGGCCAAGTATTTTGTCAGGCAGATACAGATGGAAGTAGCCCCGCAGCTTTAAGATACTCCTCCACGCCTCCGTGTGGAGGCTCCCACTCTCTGACTGGCCTGGGCAGCACAGGTTGCTGGTTAACCCCAGCAGTCCACAGTTTTCTTCAAAAGGAATCATCTCCAGGACTCTGGCTGCACTGATGTCAAAAAGCTCTTGACTGCTCAGGTGTCTGTCCCTGCACAGCAGTGACCCCTCTTTGGGGGTCAGTCCTCAGCTGATTATCCCCTGGTGGACTGTACTACCTAAGCACACTTGCTTGGAGAGTACAAAAGGCTGTTTGAAATTGGATCAAAGGACTACTGGGAATCCGGTGGGGGGCGGGGGGATGCTTGCAACACTGGCCCAAGCCCCTCCCTGCTGAAGAAAAACTACGATCTGATTTATTTCCTTAAAACCTGTATTTACAATATTGGTGTTCTCTATAAATCAATTTACTAGGTAGAGGAACGTAAGAGCTTGAAAGGAAATACGTTGGAGACTAGCTTCTAACGCGGATTCAGAAGAAAGGCTCACGCTCCAGTTATTAAAACAGAACTGCTGGAGTAAGAAATGTGGTCGGGAGGCAAGGCAGAACTGGCAATGAAACTCATCAGAACACTTTAGAAAATGTTAGGAGGGTTGGTGATCACTGTAAAGAGACTTTAAAGACCCGATTTAGGACACGTTTACAGAACTTCACCATAAAATAGTAACATAAATGTTTCTAGCCATTCAAGAATCCAGGAAATAAAATCACCTTTATTGCAATATCCTCGGTCTCTACAGGACGTAGACGCCGGGTTGATTGCTCATAGCTGTCCAGGTGATATCTTCCAGGCTGCTTCCTGTTTATAGTTTTCGGCTGCTGCATTCCAAATGGGGGGGGAAAAAAACACAAGTTGAAGCTTTATGAAAAAAAAAATGTTTTACTGAACATTAACTCATATTGCTACTTCTCCACTTGAAATTCCAAGGAAAATGAAAGAGGTAAAGTGAATGTAATATTTTAATTCTTTCAATGGCTTCTCCAAAAAAAAAAAAAAAAAGCAAATAATAAAAGTGCATTAAGCTTATCATTTTAAACCTAATTCACAAGTCTCTTTAGAAAAGTAAAAACACAAAGATGTGACTCTTGCAATGGATGGAGTGGAAAGTGTGTAGCCCCAAACTAGGTTTTGGATATTCCTCGTCCAGCTCTCCCGATAAATATACCCAGTCTGTGTGTCAAAAGGCAGGCAGACTAACTCAGGTTAAACTAGAATCTACTTGGGAGGCCACTGAGCTTGTAAATGCTCCAACTGTACCTTTTCGATCACCCATTGAATCATGAGGATTTTGAATCTCATACACTCACATAACTCAGATTGGGCTACACATCACCCAAGGATCACTGTAGAGTGAGAAAAAGCATAAGGATCTCAGAGTTTTTTGGTCCAAATATGTATATATATATATTGTTTCTTAAGTATATAAACATATAATGCTGATGTAAGTATAAGAGAATGATCTAGTCTTTTGCAAAAATGTTATAGTGTTGTTCCTGGTCAAAGGACTAAAGTATCCATTATAAAGAGGATGCTAGCTGAGGTTGGACAGTTTTCCCATACTTAAAAGGAACTTAGGTTAGGTCATAGAAATAGAAATCTGTTATTCTCTAAATCTGACTTCAGTGTCATGCAGTAGAGACAAATGATTAAAGAAAAGGTAGACAATTCAGCTCTGTAAACCTCTAATATAGCAAAATTTACAAGCTCAAAATTTGTGCCAGGAATCTATGACCAAATATTTCAACAAAAAAAATTATCTGTCTTACTTAAATACCTTGTAGATTTTATGAAGGTTAAGTAGTAATATACTTTAAAATTGTTAAATTACCTATAAAAGCAAAGTAGTCTAGAATTGTGAAACTTTTTTTTTCTTTTGGCCTGGAATTGCAGGTTTAGCTTTTTGAAAAATCCACTGACTTCCACTATGGGAATTAGACATGTCCTCAAATAATCAGTAATTTAATCCAAATAAGATATTACCCTTCCAATTTTCATCAATTGTTATATCAACAGAACATCAAATTATCAAATAGTACATTGCTAGGCTACGTGTAAATAAATACACAGATTACAAAGGTATTAAGAAGAGCTAACATTGGTTTTGTCACATAGAAAATACTGAACATGGGGCACCTGGGTGGCTCAGTTGTTAAGCGTCTGCCTTCAGTTCAGGTCATGATCCCAGTGTCCTGGGATCCTGGGATCAAGCCCCACATTGGGCTCCCTGCTCAGTGGGAAGTCTGCTTCTCCCACTCCCACTCCCCCTGCTTGTGTTCCCTCTCTTGCTCTTTCTCTCTCTGTCAAATAAATAAATAAAATATTAAAGAAAGAAAGAAAATACTGAACGAATTTTAACTTTAAAAAATGGAGAGATTGGAAAAAAAAAATGGAGAGATTGGGGCGCCTGGGTGGCTCAGTGGGTTAAGCCTCTGCCTTTGGCTCAGGTCATGATCCCAGGGTCCTGGGACTCTGGGACTCCCGCATGGGGCTCTCTGCTCAGCAGGGAGCCTGCTTCCCCCTCTCTTTCTGCCTGCCTCTCTGCCTACTTGTTATCTCTGTCTGTCAAATAAATAAATAAAATCTAAAAAAAAAAAAAAAATGGAGAGATTGTTCCTGAAATTTTATTTTAGTTCTGTTTTTCTTTTCACAATCTCACAGATGACCCTGGATGTATGTTGCATGAGATGTAGAAAGTCGGTATCCCTCAAGCTAAGTGTATCTTTCTCACAAGATGGTCTATGCCTTCACATAAATCCTCTGTCTTCTAAAGTCTTTAATTCTATAGTACTATTGCCCCAGAGGTCCAAAAGGAATGACGTCATGTTCTTCACAAAACTAAGAAGAGGGTGGGAGGAAGAGATGTGTTGACAGAGATTTGAGTTGGAGTTCCACAGATGTAATTTGAAGAGACTTTGGCTCTAGAATGTCACTAATTCTCCATGGAGATTCTACAGCCAAAACCACTTAACTCAAAGCTTTTACAGAATACATAGCATCTTAAACTCTCAAGAAGAAGTTTCCATTAGTGTTATTTTCAAACACACAGATTTTTTCACTCCATTTTAAAAAGTTTGTCGTTTGTGGTTTGGCCCATCAGCAGTGATGAATGACCCTGAAAGACATCAGAAGTCCAGTCTGGTTTCAATAACACTGAAGATACTGAATACATTTGAAGGGGATTCTTTTTTCCTTCCAAAGCCCTTTCTCAGTTCAATTTTTCTTCTATCCCTCATCCCATACAAAAAGTTGTTCAGATTTCCCTAACTCCACAAACTTAACCTCCTACATCCCCAATTCTTGAGGTCATCCACTCTGCTCATCCCCACATTTCTGAAAGATGACCTAATAAATTCTTTGGTAATCTCCTATAATACAAAGGATGACAATGCTGGTTCTTATCAAGTACTTGACCTTCCTGCTGTCTCAATGTATAGACACTCTATAATGCATTCTTATCTTTGTGTCCATGTCCACACAACAGCAAACAATCATTTTGAGGCATGGTTATCCCTGTGTATACAAGGCATGAGTGGTACCTCCTTCTTAGACAAAATCACACTGGATCAATAAAATAACAGAGGGTAAAGTAAAACTCCAGAAAAGCAGAAGAAAACAGTGGGTCTAAACATAGCTGAGTGCTCATCTCAACTGTATTTAGTAGTTTTAAAAACGATGTAGTGAAAAATTTAATATAGACTGACTTCCTGGTAAAAAGACTTTCCAAGCCTCAATTAATTCAGTCAGAAAATTGTGCATGTAATTTTGTTTGGTTACAAAAGTAGTAAATACATTCATATTTTTGTCTAATAGTAACACAAATAACTAATATTAATTATAACATGACCCACTTTAGAAAAGTATCTAATTTAATGTTATGAAATGTACATATTAATTTTAAAGACTTTCTTTAGACTTTTCAGACACAACTTTCAAGAAAGTGATGTGATCCAATCTCACTGATTTAACTATCTAATGGCTAATCCCTCTTAAATTTACTCCATCTCCAATGCTGACTTCTCTTCTTAGAAGTCAAAGAATATCTCAAGATTATCATGTGCAAATATATTTTTTGATTCTACCTCAACACCAGTCCACTAACATCTTAGCCTCCCTATCCAGTCTATCAGCAAGTCTTTACCCACTCAACATTTTAAAAAAGTACACTGAATCTGCTCACTTTCTCATGATGTCTGTCCACTGCAACTGCCACAGAACTAATTCTAACATCATCATTTCTTGGCCATGTTATTATAATAATCTTTTTACTGATCTACCTGTTCTACCCTTGTTCCCACTGATTACTGTCAACCTAGTGGCTCAGTCATTAAGCACCCAACTCTTGATCTCAGCTCAGGTCTTGATCTCAGGGTCCCAAGTTCAAGATTCACGTATAGATAGTAGGTAGGTACGTAGGTAAGCAAAATGCTATTAGTCCCCACTTTAAAACCCTCTTATGGTTTCCAACTGCATGTCAATACAATCCAGACCCTCAATCCTTGTTCTTACCTTGTCTTATCTCTCTGTTCTTTACCAGGCTTCAACAACGTGTTTCTCTGTTCCTTGAGAACAACAAATTCATTCCCACCTCAGGGTCTTTGCATTCTTCCCCCAGTCTTTGCTGAACAGGTATGTTTGTACTCTTTATTCAGGTCTCAGCCCAAATGCCAGCTCTTCAGAGGTGGCCTTTCTGGGAAATGGTCACTAGCTTCCAGTATCCCAGTCATTCTCTCGTACCCTATTTTATTTTCTTCCCAAAGGAAATTATCTCACTTTTTAAACTTATCATCTGACTCCTGCCTTAAGAAAGCTAACTGCGACAAAGAGGAGTCTGTGTGCCTTGTTCTCAGCTATATCCCTAAAGTACAGGGTAGGCAATAAATCTAGAAACACAGGCAAATATATGGTACATGTCATCTTACATGTAATACACAACAAAATAATATTGAACATGTTTCCAGGCTGTATGTAGCTATTGAGTAAATATTTGTGTAATGGATGAATAAACTGGTTCTGGACTTAACCAGACTCATGTTTTAATTCTGGCTCTGCTGCTAAGTTTATGACTTTATTCAAGCCACATAATACACAAACTCAATATATTCAGTTTGAAGATAAAAATAAGGTAATACAATTTATATTGAATCAAAAGATGCAATGCATCAAAAGCACTTTTTTAAACTAAAAAGTATAATACAGCTAAAAGTTATTAAAAGAATATGGTGTGGGAGTTGGTAAGCTTACTTAATATTATTATTATATAAAGTTTTGGGCAGAAAACCTTTCAATTTTTTTTCAGTTGAACATGTGCTGTCCCTCTTGGGATATTTCTTTGATGATATCTAATGACAAGCCTTATACATCTGTTTATGCATTTTAGACTACTGAACTTTGTTATAGAAGCAGGTGGCCATTTTTCTTTATATAGGTTAAAAGTGGAGCTTACAATTTCTTCTAATCACACTGATTTGAAATCCTCTAGTCTTGGGCCAGTTACCTATTCACAGCTTCAATAATAAGAAAAAGCACTTACCACTCCAGTGTGCTTCTTACAGGACTCAAAAGGAAGAGAACCTTCACCAGTTCGCCAGCTATCCTCACCAATCTCGTCACTCAAGAGAAACTCATTCAGCTTTTGAACACTGCAAAAACCAACCAAACAAAAAAGGGGTTAAAAATAAAACCACCACCAACAAAATTCTACGAAAATAAACAAGCATTTCCCTCACTATCATGTTGAGCAAGCCACTTCTGAGAGTCATTTTTCAAGACCAACTGGGAATTCAACTGGGAGGAACAAGCATCCTAAGTAAATTGCCCAAGAATGATAGGCTCCCAGGACCTGGGACTTTCAGTGCTGAAACTAGAAATGTCTCAGGAAAACCAGTAACAATTTGTCACTCCTTGAATGCAGCCAAACTCTTTGCACCTTTTTTTTTTTTTTTCAATTATGTGTCTTGTCAAAGACAGTGGAGTTGAGGAGGAACTTAAAACAGAGTGGTTAAAAATAATAATGGGGGCACCTGGGTGGCTCAGTGGGTTAAAACCTCTGCCTTCCACTCGGGTCATGATCCCAGGTCGTGGGATCGAGCCCCACATCAGGCTCTCTGCTCAGCAGGGAGTCTGCTTCCCCCTCTCTCTCTGCCTGCCTCTCTGCCTGCTTGTGATCTCTGTCTGTCAAATAAATAAATGTAATAATGCCAATGAGGGAAATACACACTATTCTAATTTTACAAATGAGGGGAAATAAGTAATAGAGAAGCTAAATAGCTTGCTTAAAAACATTTAGCATATTAACACATAGCTCTGGGGTCCATAACCATTCTGCTACCTTGCTTGAGCACTATACACTACATATATTTTCGGAACCTGGCAGGAAGACGGGCCTCTACAGAGTTGCTGTTCGGTGTTGGCAAAGGACCAATAACATCATCTCCTGGAGTTTACCAGAGATTCTCAGGCCCCACCCAAGACCTACTAACTCAAAATACTCATTTTCACAAGATCCAGAAATGCTTCCTAAGCACATTACCATTTGAGAAGCCTGGATGTAGAAGAGCAGTTTGCAAACGTCCTTTCTTATGGTCTCCTCGGGCAGGGCACAAGACTCCTTGGCCCACCTACCCCTTGCATTCTAACTTTTTCAAACCAGTTATAGAATCAGGAGCAAAAGAAAAGAACCAGAGAAACAACAACATGATTTGAAAACATCCTCCTATAAATAAAAGAATACGCTAAAGAAAGTTCTGTGAAGTTGCAAAAGAAATGCTCCTTTTAGCATGTTAGGATGCCAAAGGTGAGCAAACTGCTTGGCCCATGCCGCATCAACCACAGGCAAGATACCGCCTGTGGTAGGAAACTGGAAAGTAAAGATGTGGAACAAAAAAGTACTACATATTTTTTCGTTTGAACTTGTCGTCAAGTTAAAGGCCTCCAAATAGGTCTGCAAAGCTTGTTTTGTGTGTGTGTGTGTGTGTGTGTGTGTGCGTGCAGCCTCAAATGCCATAGAAACTGCTTCTTGTCACTGGGAACGTAAAGGTGAGTAAATTCCACTGCAGCAACTCTAATTAGCTTCCAAACTTCACTTACAGAGAACTAAAAAAGATAATGGTTTAAGAAGAAATTTGGTTGAATAATACTACATCTGTATATACTACATTTTATTTACTTATTCATCCATTGATGGACATTTGGGTTGTTTTCCCTCTTTGGCTACGGTGAATAATGCTGCTATGAACCTGGGTGTTCAAGTTCCTGCCACGTTGAGTTTTGGGGGGTATATATCCAGAAGTGGAACTGCTACACCTTATGCTAATTCTAAGTTTAATTTTTTGAGGAATCACCATACTGCTTTCAATAGCACCTGCACCAGGGTTCTGGAATTCTTGATTCAATAAGATAGAGTTATGATAACGTGAATGAACCTTGAAGACATTATGCTAAGTAAAATAAGCCAGGCACAACCCCCACCCCAAATAGCGTATGAGTCCACTACCTCTATGAGGTACTAGAAGAGTCAAATTCATAGAGACTGAAAGTCAATGAGTTTCCAGGGGCTGGAAGGAGGGGCAATTGTTATTGTTTGATGAATATAGCTTTCTATTTGCGAAGATGAAGCAGTTACAGAATGGACTGTGGTGATGGTTGCACAGCAATGTAGATGTACTCTGTGGCTGAACTATACACGTAAATGGTTTAAATGGCAAATTTTATGTTATGTATATCTTACTGCTATTTAAAAAGAATTTCAGAGGAAAGGAAGGAAGGAAGGCAGGGAGGAAGGAAAGATGGATGGGAGGAAGTAAAAGAAAGAAAGTCTTCTGTTTGTGTACTTTCTTTGCGTCTTTGTCAGCAGATACTGACCATAGAGACTGAAAGCCAGCATTAGAAACGCCTTATGAAATAATGGCCATTTATTTATCTTAAAAGACAGGTATTTGTTCATTACTTTTTAAGTTGAGGTATAACTGACATGTAGTAGTTCCAGGTATACAACATAATGATCCAGTATTTGGATACATTGCAATCTCATCAGCACAAGAAGTCTAGTTAACATTATCACCATACATAGTTATAATTGTTTTTCCTGGGAGAGAAATGTCTAAGATCTACCTCAAAATTAGTAGTGAAAGATCTTCTTTACCTTTATAGATTTTAGTTGTCATTCTGTTCTTATATTTTGAAGATGAATTTTAAGGAGCATGGCTTTGCCATTCCAAGGAATACCTTTTAAACAGTCTCATACTATGTCTTTGCACACAAAGGGAAGTCCAGGGGACAGAGTCATTTGCCTTGTGACTCTATGTCTAGCTGCTCCTGGCATATATTACTCAATGAATGTTTGCTGAATAAATCCAAGAAGGAATAAACCAGTGACTCAGCCATTTAAGTAAAGTCAGTTGACTCAACTCTCCATTTCACTTTTCTAGTACACATACAAATCTTACTAAAGTTTTTATGGAATTAAGGAGCCCCATTCTTGCTAAACGTTAAGAAGCAATGGTCTCTGAGCATAACTGGGGCACAAAGAACTTTCTTTCCTCTATATAACTCTCCACTTTGGAATTCCAATTACAAGGAATATCGGAGGACCCCAAGAGGAATTCTTCTCTGAACCTCCTGTCCTTTCCCTTCCCCTGACCTCATCATTCTAGGCTCTCTGGTTGAGGGTCCCCAGCACTGGTATTTTGTCATTTTTTATTACTATCTCCCTCATTACACTATGAACTCCTTAAGAGCAAAGATTTTCATCTTCAGGATCCAGCCCAATGCCAAAAATACAACGTAGTAATGTCTCAAGAAAAGAAATTAATAAAAAAGAATTTATTAATTCTGGTGAATTAATAAATGGGTAATACAAAAAACATTTCCTATTCATCTGAGGTCCTTTCAGAAATCACTGAGGCAAAGCAATTATTGAAAATGTATGAATGCTGACCAAGGCTGAAGTAATTCCCACCATGCTGCCTGGGTTATATATGGAAAATCCAAATCTGTTTATGTAGCATTCCTTTCCTTAAAATAGCAAATGGCACCCCTCTGCCTTCCGCATCCTTAGTATCATTTCCAGGCTGCTCAGGATTTTACCCCCCACCCCCAGCTTCATCCCCTGCCACATTCCACACCAGAACCCATCACCAATCACACTCAACTATGTCTAGTCCTCTAAATGCACCACGATCTCTCACCTACTTACTTACCCTTTTCCTCCAAATACATTGCTCTCAGCTTGAAAATGTTTTCCCTTTTTCTCCAACTGACCGAGTCCTACCTATTCTTTAAGATCTTATGAAGAAGCCACAGTAACTCTTTTAAATTTTCACTTGACTGTCTACTTTCTCACTCGATAAACTTCAGTGACACTCAAATAATGGGCCATGGTATTCTACATAGAACTCTGTAAATAGCATAATACACCATATCGTATTTAGTTTCCCCTCCTGGTCTCTCCATCTAGACTGTAGGTTCCCTGTAGATTTCACTCTACCCTTCATCTTTGCAACTCCTAATTCCTTGTAATGTACCCGAAGTATTAACGAGGGCATGTAGACCCACAGAAGATGTCTCTCTGAAGCACAGATGGAGATTAATAAAATGGGAGTAAATTGGCAAAATTGAAATCGGTAAAGTATCTGAAATATTTAGGCAACTAGCTGGGCACTGTTCATACACTGTCTCATTTAATTGTTTCAATTGCCATAAGCAGGTGCTATTGCAGTACTCACTTAATAAGTAAGGCGCTGAGCTATAGAAACACAAAATGACATGCTGGAGGTTGGACAATGAGTACTCTAGGGCTGTACTAGGATTTGACAGCAGTTGCATTTGATACCAACCAATTTTCTAATGTGCCTCCACCATCTTCCTAGGTCAGTGTTTTACTAATCTCCCAAGTGTTTGGATAATTCATATCAGTCTTTAAGGTTTTAGCTACACATGTTATTTTTTTACTTTTCAAGTTTCACTTTGGGTGTTTAGCTAAAGCTTGAGTACCTTGGACGGGTGCTATTATATTAATCGAGAATAAGTGACTTTGTTGCTGACAATTATGTGCTTTTCTTGTAAGAACTATAACATTTTTTTGTAAACAGGGACCAGGTGGAAGTGCATACTCTGTAATATCAGTAACAATTTATTTGATCAAAGGTAATTCTCCTGGACCAGCCAAGCATACAGTCCTTTGGGAGGTATATGAAAGAATGGATACGAAGTTATTTTTTAACAAAGCAAGGGATTGGTTTTTACATATTTTACTCCTGGCAGATAACATCTTTGGACATAGATAATGCATTATACATAAAATACCAGAAACCTTCACGGAAATTATTTATAAAAGATACAACATATCAACTTACATTCTCCTCCAGAAAAGCAAAAACACATATTGTTTTCTTAGAAATAAAGCAAAGTGGAAAAGTGAGGCAAGCATCCTGGAAAATCACTCTTACTCAGTATTTTAATATTTTAGATAATAGTGATTTTTCCTACTTCTCCCCATTTCGTGACTCTGTTTTGCAAATGTAGACTGGATTAATAGATCATAAAACGTCCAGAAAACTCAAACAGTGTGGGGTGTAGGGTTGTAAGGAGAAAACCTGAATCATATCTGCCTCTTTCTTTCATTTTTTATTATGTATACATGGGGTCCCACCCATTGAGCACCACGAAGACCATTTTGGCTAACAAACTAAACATTTTTAAAAGAAAGTATAGAATTTTCACATTGGAAAGAATTTTACTGGCATGGAATTTTCCTCCATTAGAGAGGTTTGTAAGTCTCTAACAGGCATGTGTAATGCAAGTTTGGGAGTATGCTGTATCCCCTTCTAACCCACCAAATCTCTGATGCATTTAAGAGTGAAGCAAAGAACTTATGACTTCCACGGTCCTGAAGAAGAGGTTTCAAAATCAGCTCACCAAAGTCTCCGATTATAAACAGGCTGTTCAGCTTGTTGTGGGCCAACTGGCATCAAAGACTGGTCACGGGTTCCCAGGCACAGAAGAAAATGCCAAACCCAGTCAATACTGGGAAAAAGCTCATTTGGGTTCCCAGAACCAGCACACAGTGGGGAAAAGGCCTGGCTCCTCTGCTGACTGGTCATCTCTGTAGGACCCACAAATCAACCACTGAGACTCATTTTAGAGAAGCCAGTTTTTATAAGCTGATTCTATTCGGCCTATGGTTTGGGAAATCTGGAGCTGAGCCCTGAAAACAGACTGGTCTTTATCAAACTGGCAAATGCCTTTCCCTGAGACATAAAGAAAAAAGAGTTCTGTGCAGAAATATACAGTGAACATTATCCACTCTCAACTTCGCCAGCATTTACTGCAGCAGGATTGTGTATACTATCTAGGTGGAAAAGCACTTCTAGGTTTTTTTGGTGTTGTTTTTTTTTTTTTCTTCCAAATAAACTCTTTAAGCCCTTTTGATGTTTGGTAACCCCCTGACTTCAGAGAAGTTAGGTAGAACTTATCAACTGTTTCTTATCCCCACTTGAGATACAAAGTCAAATTCCAATTAAAAATGAAACCATGAAAGGGACAGCTATTAAATGGGGAAAATGAAACTAAGGACCAAAATAGCAGACTTTGGCCATTCATCAATTTTATTGTTTGAAGTAGCTTCCCTTCCAGAGCACTGCCTAATTTGGAAGTGGCGCTACGAAAATCAGTCCATGTTCCGTACAACTCTTTTAAGAGGCAGAACAGTAAGAAAAGCAAAGGAGCCAGACGAGGCCAGAGGGTCTAATCCTTAAACTCCAACAGCTCCAGAATTGGTTACCCACGACATAACCTACAGAACAGGACTAAAACCATTCTGTGATATTATTATAACCAAACAGAATTTCAGTTTATAATAAGATAATGGACATGCATCTTCTGGTTTTTGGGATTGAGCCAGTGTTAAACCAATATAGAAAACTGTCCCAAACTGAAGACTCAGGTATTTTAAATGTCAAATACTAGTGTTTTTCATAATACATAGCCATTGGGAAAATTAACTCATTCTAAAAGACCTTACAAGAAAAAAAATTAATTAAAAAAAATAAAAGCCCTTATAAGAAAACGTTCAACATTGTTATCGGTGGCAACACCAAGCTCCATGTATTTAAGGCTTCCATTTTCCAATTTTCCTTAGTATTGTAACATCTTGACATTTCTTTCAAAGGCCAGACATTATGACTGTTTATGAAACATGCTGAGGTTTTATGTTTATCAGATCTTATACCATAAGCTAAATACTACTTAAAGACTTCCCTGTTCATAATAAAGTATCAGACACAGTAGACTGTGACACAAACAGCATTATATAATATAGCATAATAAAGTTTGGTAGTATACTTATTCATATAACACAAGAAAAATGGTGGGAAATGGTCATTATCATATTACATCTATTTTTATTGTTGTGCATTGTAGGAAACTGTAAGTCTGAGACAAATTATACATGGGTTAAAAAACTAGAGAAGCATATTTAAAATAAGCAAAATGTGGAGAGGTTTTGCAAAGTATTTCCATTGGCAGAAACCATGAGTCTTACTTAAATTTTTTCCTGGTTTAATTAAAATTAAAGCAGTAAATATATATTGATGGGAACACTGTCCATCACTATAACTGCAAAGATAAACTGATACAGTTGTACTGGAAAATATTATGGCCATTTTCATTAAGAAAATCTTCAAAACTGGGGAGCCTGGGTGGCTCAGTCAGTTAAGTGTCCAACTCTTGGTTTCGGTTCAGGTCGTGATCAGGCCGTCATGGGATGGAGCCCCACACAGGGCTGTGCGTTCAGTGAAGAGTCTGCTTCTGATTCTCTCTCCCTCTCCCTCCTACTCACTTTCTCTCTCTATCCCAAATAAATAAAACCTTTAAAAAAATTTCAAATATGTGTATAATGTTTGACCTACCTACCACTCTTTAAAAGCAACATAGCAATAAGAACCTTAATGAACACTGGGTTCATTAAGAACCTTAAAAATGGGGGCACCTGGGTGGCTCAGTCGGTTAAGTGTCTGCCTTTGGCTCAGGTTATGATCCCAGAGTCCTGGGACTGAGCCCCACATTGGGCTCCCTGCTCAGTGGAAAGCCTGCTTCTTCCTTTCCCTCTGCCTGCCGCTCTGCCTGCTTGTGCTCTCTATCTCTCTGTCAAATAAACAAATAAAATCTTAAAAAAAAAAGAACCTTAAAAATTCATACCATTCATACAATTGAGCGCACACACACACACACACACACACACACCAAAAAACAAACAAACAAACAAAACCCCCCACACAAATAATCTAATTAATAAATGGGCAGAAGACATGAATAGACATTTCACCAAAGAAAAGCTACAGATGGCCAAACAGATACATGAAAAGATGCTCAACATCATTCATCATCAAGGAAATGCAAATTAAAACTACAATGCAGTACCACCTCACACCTGTCAGAATGGCTAAAATCAAAAACACAAGAAACAACAAGTATTGGCAAGGATTTGGAGGAAAAGGAAGCCTCATGCACTGTTGGTGGGACTGCAAACTGGTGCAGCCAGTGTGGAAGACAGTATGGAGTTTCCTCAAAAAATTAAAAATAGAACTACCCTACAATCCCGTAATTCCACTACTGGGTATTTACCCAAAGAATGCAAAAACACTAATTCGAAAGGATGTATGTGCTCCTATGTTTATTGCAGCATTATTTACAATAGCCGACTGATGGAAACCACCCAAGTATCCATCAACAGATGAATTAATACAGAATATAAGGATATATATATATATATATATATATATATGCTTATACATACACACACACACATGAATATTACTCAGCCATAGAAAAGAATGAAATCTCGCCATCTGCAACAACATGGTTACAGCTAGAAAGTACAATGCTAAGTGAAATAAATCCGTCAGAAATAGATAAATACCATATAACTTCACTCATATGTGGAATTTAAGAAACAAAACAAATAAACAAAGGGGGGAAAAAAGAGACAAACCAAGAAACACTCTTACTTCTAGAGAACAAACTTGATAGTTACCTGAAGGGAGGTGGGTGGGGAGATGGGTGAGATAGGTGAAGGGGGTTAAGAGTACCCTTATCTTAATGAGCACAGAGTAATGTATGGAATTGTTGAATCACTGTACTGTACATCTGAAACTAATATAACACTGAGTGTTAAATATACTGGAGTTAAAACCTAAAAATTAATAAACTTTTTTAAAATGTGGATACTGTTAGAACTAGTATCCCTACTTCCAAAAATCTATCTTAAGAAAATAATCAGAGAAAAGTTTAAAGATATAAAAAGATGTTTATCTAAATTTTATTTATGTTAGGTAGAAAATAGAAACACTCTAAGTGCCCAATAAGGAGGTAATCATTAAATTAGAGTACAGTACTTTCAAACAATGGACTATTGCATACCCAGTAAACATCCTGATCTTAAAGAGGGGGGAATAAATAAATTTTACAATAAATTGTAAAAACAATATGTGAAATAAGGAGTCAAAAGCTACAGAAACTCAAAATTTTTATTTCAGAATAATAATTATTTTCATTTAAAAATAATTGTAAAAGACTGAAAAGAAGCCTATTCAAATTTTAACAATGGTTATCTCTGGACTGATTTGAATTTTTTTTTAATACCTTCCAAACTGACTACCACAAGCATAAATAATTTCTATGATCAAGCAAAGAATTCCAGACATTCCAGGGCATACCTTATGATGGCTTTGACTGCAAATCTGACCACTGTGGAGAGCAGGAACAAAGGGGTGACCAGGATATGAAAGAGAGACAGGGAAGCAAAGGCCTCTGCAGGTTTTAGATTGTTCCCACTAGCATACGCATGGGTCACGAATGTCTGCACAAAGAGAGAAGCTCTTTAGAGCAAGCTGGAGAAAGTTTCACAAACGCTTACATTCAATTTTACAAACCTAACCACCTATTTTGCTGCGCTAATACGTCCATCTTAACTCTGAAAACAATTACTTTACCCAAATTACTCCCTAACAAAAAGATTTGTTATTGATAGTCCTTAATGGCTTACATATCATCCTAGCAGTGAACTTGTGAGAAGGGCAGAGCAGAATCTGTTTACAGATTCGGAAATGGTCTTCTGTCAAATTACTTAGTAGGGGGATAACTGTGAGGTGAACCTAGAGTTCTTAACAACCAATCAGGTTCTATCCAACCAATACTAAATTTTCTAAGAGAAAAAGAAGATGTTCTATTGTTTTAGGGTCCCCATTATGGATCTTTACTAAATGTGCCAACAATCGTGTTCCATGCACACTTACTAAATGTAATTCCAGTTTGTCATTTCAGTTTGAAATGTAATGTACTTTTCTGGTTGTTGAACTAGCACTCTCTTGATGTAAGAATGTCTGGGAACAAGATCATGAAGATTACAACAGTTAGTTCCCAACCACTATTCATTTTGCTCCCCAGGGCACACTTGGCAATGTCTGGGGAACGCTAACAGCATCCAATAGCCAGGGATGCTGCTACACGTCCTCATGCAGAGGAGAGGACCTACCAACACAGAATTATCTGGACCAAAAAGGCTTATAGTGTAACCGTGGAGAAACCCTGGATTAGAATTATTACAATGGGACTACAAGAGAAAACTAGCAGAGGTGAAATATCATATAATACCACCCGCACATTCTTGCTCATAAATCATTTCTAAACACTGACTTAGTTCCATTTCTAAAAGCAAGAGAAAGTTTCTTACGGCAAGGACAGCTGCTATGGGAATTGCTGCGTTCATGAAGACTGTGGAAAGAAATAAAATATGTTAGGTTCATTGAACTGTGAAATGTTTTCAGTAACTTTAATTAATCATCTATTATTACTTTAACTTTCCTTAAAGACAGAGAGGACCAAGTGCATTAAATAACATTTTGTACAGTGTCCACAAACAGTGCCCTGTTGGTATTTCCTTGTTTAAAGTTGTAGGAGTTCCCCACATTAGTCTGAATCAAAAAATATTTCTCTTTTTTAACAGAGTTTTTAAAAAAATATTTTATTTATTTACTTGAGAGAAAGAGAGCATGAGCATGAGGGAGGTGAGGGGCAGAGGGAGAAGCAGACTCCCCACTGAGAAGGGAGCCCAATTTGGGGCTCAATTCAGGCCTGAGCTGAAGGAAGACGCTTAACTGACTGAGCCACCCAGGCACTCCAGAAAATACTCTATCTTATGGAAAAATTATTTTTTATGAACTGTTCCAAACTGCAAAATTCAGATGAAATACTCCTTTAATGATACAAATAATTAGAATCCATTCAAATGTGCCTTCCTGAGAGTATTTCCAGCCTATATTTCACTTGGTTAACTAAGCTAACTTAAATATATGAAAACTGAATTATTACGGTGCATAAAAACAGTAATTTGACTTCCAAAAGTGACATTTATTTCCAGATATAGACCTTTTGTTTAACAAAACACCTCCATCTCCTGAGCCCTCTGCTTGTCTGAATGTCTCTTTAGGAACATACTGTACTCATATTTGATGAGATGATATGTATAATTGAAACAAGGAAAACTCATCTTTTAGGCTAAAATACTAACATTTAGAGGTTATAGGAAAATTAAAAAGTCATGTTGATGACTTGTAGTTATATTTTTCATAAACCACAGAGTTCTAGGAACTGAGGAGTAAAAGAATACATGAATTGGTGGCATAGTGAAAGCTAGAACCTAGTTTCCTTGACATGCAGGAGAGAGTTCATCCAAAAACCAACATCAGTCCCCATAACCCACTCTCATGAATTACCCTCACCACTGTACACAAAATCAGATTGTGCTTTTGTGGGTCCATACGTGGCTTGGTTATCAAATTCAAATTCTTGTACAAGACCGGGAATCCAAACACCGCCCTGAGTTTCCTAACAGCACAGATGAGGAGTTGTTTCCATCTTCTTTCTGTGGCTATTGTCATCCTGTTCTTTAAGTGCATTTTTTCTTTTCCCCTCATCATTATTTATCATTCATTTTATAGTCCACGTCTTTGAATAGGTAATTTCCCCTTGATGAGGAAGAATAGGAACAACTGCTATTTGTTTGAAAACCATTTCTACAGCAATCTGCACCAGGTAAATGTAGCAGGTACTGTTCCTACACCATTACAAAGATGAGGACAAGAATCTTCAGGTCACACAGCTGGGATACAAACCAATGCAGTCAGGCCTCTCAGACCGCTTGGCACCACCTTGCTCTGAACTAACATGTCACAAGCACTGAGGTATGATAAGAGAGCTTTACATACATTCTCATATTTTTTTTATTTTTTTAAAGATATTATTTATTTATTTGAGAGAGAGACAGAGAGAGAGAGTATGAGAGGGGAGTGGGTCAGAGGGAGAAGCAGATTCCCCACTGAGCAGAGAGCCCAATGTGGGACTCGATCCTGGGACTCCAGGATCATGACCTGAGCTGAAGGCAGTTGCTTAACCAACTGAGCCACCCAGGCAACCACATTCTCATATTTAATGACCTTAACTACCCTACACAATAATAAGCAAGCAGCTTGCAAGATTCCAAACCAGGAGGTCATAGAGCTTGGATTTAAACCTAGACCTTTCTGGTCTCAAAGCTCTTTGCTCTTGGGGGACCCGGGTGGCTCAGTCATTGTGTCTGCCCTGAGCTTAGGTCATGATCCTAGGTCCTGGGATCAAGCCCCACATCAGTCTGTTTGCTCAGTGGGGAGTCTGCTTCTCTCTCCCTCTGCTCCTCCCCCTGCTCGTGCTCTCTCTCTCTCTCTCTCTCTCTCTCTCTCGCCATCAAATAAATAAATAAATAAATATGTTTTTTTAAAAAAAGCTGTATGTTCTTTTCAATTCTCCATATAAGATTCTATAAAAGCGAAGACAAAAAAATATAGTACTGGTTTTTTGCCTTTTACCAATGGATTAAATCTATAAATAGTACACAACCATTTGGCAATGGAAACTAGGAAATTAATAGAATTTCTCTTCCCCCCAGATATTATCTCAAATGGCAAGAATACTGATTCATAAAAGCAGAGATGAATCTTCAGTTCTACTAGTAAGTGTCCTGTTTAACTTTGCTTTTCAATATTTCCAGATACCACTGATTGAGCACTTTTATGTTTCAGGTACTTTTCTAGACACTTGACACACATAATCTTATTTAATTTCTGAAGATGCTCTTAATATTTCCCAGATTCCTGATGAGAAAACTGAGACTGCCCCCGATACTAACCAAGGCTGTAGATCTGACAAGTTGTTGAGGCAGGATATCATTTTAGGTCAGCTTGCCCTCTAAGACACAATAATAAGGACTCTGTTATACAACTGACTTTTTCCTTTCATTATTTTTTATTTTCTTGTGGTGCTCTACAAATCCTATTTACAAAATGCGTGTGTGTGTGTGTGCGCGCGCGTGTGTCTTTTGAGTGGGCTCCATGTTTGGGCATGGAGCCCAATGCAGTGCTTGAACTCATGACCCTGAGATCAAGACCTGAGCTGAGATCAAGAGTCAGGTGCTTAACCAACTGAGCAACCCAGGTGCCCCTATTTATAAAATTCACTGCTTCATTTGATTCTCACAATATAGCTGTGATAATGATTTATTATTATTGCACCAATTTTTAGATGAGGAAAGTGATGGTTGGAGGTTAGTGAGCACTAGACCATTTACCAGGTGCTTTATATGAGATAATGACTATGAAGCATTTGATGTCATGCCTGGAATAGAATCAACAACCCAAATCAACATTTATATCATTCATTATTTTAATCTTTACTACAGTCCTGTATGATAGAAATCACCTCATGTTACAGATGAAGAAATTGGCACTTGGAGGATATAAGTAATTTGGTCAAGGCCACATTGCCAAAAAGTGGCAGAGCTGGGATTTATAGCCAGCTCTATGCAACTCCCACAGTTCAAGCTCTTAATCACCAAGAACACTGTACATAGCCATATCATAAATCTTACAAATGGTCCAACTGGGAATTTTATACCATCGGCTCAAGAATTCCCGCTGCCTATCATAAACATCTGACTCTGAATTTTTACTTTCATTATTTCTTGTTTTTCTCCCCTGTTATCCTCTGTCCACCCTTCTTTTGTATCTGACTTTCAAAAACCCATCCAAATTTCATGTCTGGAGACAGACAAACTGGATTAACAACCCACTCATGCCATTTAGTAGGTGGATGATTTAAATGAAATTCAAGTTACTTAAGCTCTCTCCACCTTAATCTTTTAATATTGAAAATGGAATTAATAGTAGAATCTAAATCATTGGGATGTTGGGAGGATTAAATGGGATTATATCTGTAAAGCCACTTAGGGCAATAATTGGCTGAGTATCTCAACTTTTTTTTATTGTTATTATTTCTGACTTCATCCATCCTTTTCATGAGTATTTCAGTCCACTGCAGAGAGAAATATATATTCCCCTGCCAGGGTCACCAGATTAGAGTACTGTTATATAAACAAGTGGATATTAATCATTCCATCTTCTAGCATTTTGATGTCATATTAGCAGTGGTGCAGAGCTGGAAGAGAAATCTCCTTCCCATTTCATTTCTAACTCATCAGGCTTTAGGGCTAGAATAAATGAGCTATACAAAACAAATATTTTCTCTAAATCTATTTCACACAAGAAGTATTTATAATTTCTAAGAATTAAAGTAGTTTAGAATTCAAGAGGAAACAATATATTAATTTCCAGCATTTTAATTTGTTCAAAGTCTTGAGAACAATAGAGATAAACAAAACTGACATTCAAACCAGATCAAATGTTAGTGGGAGTAGTTTGGCTAAGTTTGTAAGAATTGTACTAACATAGCTTAATTTTTCTTGAGAGTACTCAGTGTCACTCTGGGGGAAAAACAATAATTTTGTTAACAGCTGCTTTATAAAAATTAGAGTTGAAGATAAGAGTGCTCCATATTTAAAAGTTCTTGAAAATGTATTGGAAAAGAGGATTTTATGTGAATATAACTTGACTTCTTTCACTCAGAAGTATTGACATTTCTTCTTCTCGATTTTCAAAAATAACATTTTAAGTATAATCTTCAAGAAAATATAATATCATAAGCTCCCAGATAGACAGGTAAGACAACTGCAGATAATTTTGGAGGATCTTTGGGGATAAGAAGGTCAATAGCCTGGGTGACTCAGTGGATTAAAGCCTCTGCCTTGGGCTCAGGTCATGATCCCAGTGTCCTGGGATCGAGCCCCACATCAGACTCTCTGCTCAGGGGGGAGCCTGCTTCCTCCTCTCTCTCTGCCTGCCTCTCTGCCTACTTGTGATCTCTGTCAAAGAAATAAATAAAATCTTAAAAAAAAAAAAAAAAAGGTCAATAGCAATACAGTCCAATCAACTTAAGTAAACGAAACTGTTACTGAAAACCCACTATTCATCCCAATGGTAACTGATACGATGGTTTGAATCACAGGTACTACGCTCATCACCATCCCCATTTTACAGACGAAGAAACCAAGGATTTCAGATGCAAAATAACATGACAAAAGCACACATCTTCAAAGAAAACAAATTTAGGTCAACCTGACTAAGCCTATGCTAACCCTGTTCTTTAATTTAAATCTAAATAGGCTCAGATGGCTATTGGGTAGAACATAAGTAGAGAATGAATGGACTTTCTCAGATGAGTAGCATGTTTCAGGGGTCATAACCTAAAGTAAATAAGCCACATGTTTTTTGGTGGTCCTTAGAGCAAGGGCAACTTACTAGAGAGTGATGTATAAAGTGCAAAGGTTTTGAGACTGGATAGTTCTTTCATTCTTGTTTCTTCTACACTTTTGCAAAAGATGTGTTCCCAGGCATACAACTTTAGAAGTTTGATGCCTTTCAATATTTCATTTGTTTTCTTCAATCTCTCTGTAGAATAATCCTATAAAACAAAAATAAAAAAAAACAATGCACGCTGCATCCAAGTGAATCAAAGGGGCGGAACTCTATATGTAAGAGACAGGAATGAACCAGATCTTGATTTCTGCCTGGCTCCACCACTGATTGTGACTTTGAGATCCCCTGGGTGTGGGAGCCTGGGTGAGGGTTGGGGAAGGAAAACTCTCTGCCTCTGCCTCCAACTCTAAAATGAAGAGTTGAATGAAATGGCCTCAAATATCTTTCCACCTAAAAACTCTTATGTTTCTGTTGCTTTGGGTTAAATAAAAGCAGTTTCTTAAAGCATCACATGATTTCCTTGAATCAGGTCTGCAGATAGTATATATAGACATTTAGGGAAATGACACAGAGACTTCCAGTGGCTCCTCTTAACATCTAACTCATTTTATTCTCGCCTCAGCACTATCACTCGTACTTAGAAAACAATGAATGTAAGGAAAGTTAGTTTGCTTCTTATTTGGGAATGTGAGGGTTGTGTCTGTTCACAAGGCCGGTGTTCATGTTGTGTCTTCATAATACAGTTATTGAAACCAAGGCTTTTACCTTTAACTTCAAGAGATTTCTACACTCCTCTTCATAAGCTCTTGTTTAAAGCCTAAACTAGATTTACTCATTACTGAGAGTTTGGATTAACTGTAAAGAAATTTTTTGCAAAAGCCACAATTTATTCAACTGCTGCAACTTCTACCACCACCAAGTATTAAAATGATCAGTAAGGTACATTATTTCCTATGAGCTATCAAAAGGAGCAGGCAAGTGGCCCAAAGGCGATAGGAGGAAGCAAAAGTAGCAAATGGCTTGGTTTTTATTCATCTTCTGGTCTCTACAAGGTCTTAGATGCCTATCAGATGATTGTTGCATGAGTAAATGAATACAGTATGATGAGCTCAATGAAAGACAGATGTTTGAGGATAGTCATGTCTCCACTTTGTGCCTCTCTTCCTCACCTCTCTGTATTCATGCCCTGAAGTAAAGATGGACGGTTAGCTCAGACAGAAACAATGAGTACCTCACTGGGAGCAGCAGAAAAACAAGTGACAGAAGCCACCTGCATGACACACAATTTGCTTGTCACAGCAGAAACCAACTTGGAAAACACTTCCATCGGTGGCAGCATCCCTACATTTTATGCCTGATTCACAGACAGCCTTGCTCATATTTAATCAAACTTTATTTCTAAACGTCCTGTCAACAATTTTATTATTTGTAAATATTTCTTTAAAAGAAGCCAATTCTTAGTCCAATAAAATGATTTTATGACATGCTGAAGCCAGAAAGGGTCAATCATTGGCTTTGCTTGCTTGCCAAGTTGACCATGAACATATTCAGCCAGAGCAGGGGCCACTGAAATACTTGAGTGAGACTCCATAGATCATCTCATGGCTTGATTCGACTCGAGGGAAATTTAACTTCAGAAGCAACAAACCTGATGCTTTATTCATTCTTTGAACCATTTATCCCATGTCAACAATAACATCCAATGGACTCAAAATACACTCAGGTATATTCTCTAGACAGGTGATCTAGAAATTGATCCATGCCTCATCACCCCATGGCACTTAAAAACATCAGGAATTGTGCCTCTGGTATTTTGAGTCTGAGATGATCCAATCATACATTTCAAATCCACTTTTAAAACAAATGGGGTTTGTTGTTGTTGTTGTTGATTGTTTCCTTTGCTATGCAGAAGCTTTTTATCAAAGAGGCAACCCACGGAATGGGAAAGGTATTCACAAATGACATTACAGACAAAGTGCTGATATTCAAGATCTATAAAGAACTCCTCAAACTCAACACCCAAAAAACAGATAATGTCAAAAAATAGGCAGAAGACATAAACAGACACTTCTCCAAAGAAAACATCCAAATGGCTAACAGACACATGAAAAGATGTTCATCATCATTAGCAATCAGAGAAATTCAAATCAAAACCACAATGAGATACCACCTTTGGCCTTTAGAAAGGCCAAAACTAACAAGTCAAGAAACAACAAGTGTTAGAGAGGATGTGGAAAAAGGGGAACCCTCTTACACTGTTGGTGGGAATGCAAGTTGGTGCAATCACTTTGGAAAACAGTGTGGAGATTCCTCAAGAAATTAAAAATAGAGTTACCTATGACCCCGCAATTGCACTATTGGGTATTTACACCAAAGATACAGATGTAGTAAAAAGAAGGGCCATCTATACCTCAATGTTCATAGCAGCAATGGCTACAGTCATCAAACTGTGGAAAGAGCCAAGATGCCCTTCAACAGACGAATGGATAAGGAAGATGTGGTCCATATATACCATGGAGTATTATGCCTCCATCAGAAAGGATGAATACCCAACTTTTCTATCAACATGGACAGGACTGGAGGAGATTCTGCTGAGTGAAATAAGTCAAGCAGAGAGAGTCAATTATTATACGGTTTCACTTACTTGTGGAGGATAAGAAATAACATGGAGGACATTCAGAAAAGGAAAGGAAAAGTGAATTGGGGGAAATCGGAGGGGGAGATGAACCGTGAGAGACTGTGGACTCTGAGAAACAAACTGAAGGTTTTGGAGGGAAGGGGATGAGGGGATTTGTGAGTTTGGTGGGAGGTATTAAGGAAGGCATGTATTACATGGAGCACTGGGTGTGGTACCTAAACAATGAAACTTGGAACACTAAAAAAATAAAATAAAATTTTAAAAAAAGAGTGACATTACTCCTAGGGCACTGGGTGTTATATGCAACTGATGAATCACTGAAATCTACCTCTGAAACTAATACACTGTATGTTAATTAATTGATCTTAAATAAAATAAAATTTTAAAAAATTCTTAAAAACAAGTGTTTGTTTTTTTTTGCAACACAGAAAATACACATTTGCTGCCTAAGAATTGAAATGAAATGTATCAATTTCCAAATTATTTTGAGTGGCATGTATTCATTTCCCATTATTTTAAAAATAAAACAGCTTAGTAGATTTTTCCTAATCAAGTTTCCAAAAGATGTGAACGTACCAGAGTGCTTTTCTGAGCCTCTGCCAACTTTGTAGCAATGAAGTACTGAATTGGCGCAAGGAGAACAATGACAGCTGCACCAACCAATGCACTTGATCCAAGTAAATTATACAGCAGAATCACTCCCATTATGATCTAGAAAGGAAACCATATGGAAAAGGGAAAATGAACCACTGCATGAAAGGAAATATATTTTGGTGAAAATGTACTATTTCTTCATTATTGGTTGATTAATAAATACATGTATTTAGAAGTCAACTCAACTAAGAACAGTTGGGTTTTGCTATGTTTTGTTGGGGGAAAGCTAAGTGGTAGGAATTTATTTTTAGTCTGATGATCTGTAAAACAAGTGTCAAACCAAGTTACTGCATGAGGCTGCAGACTGGTCCCCTGATGCTTCTGACCTTCTAAGACAGTCTTCACATTTTTTTCTTGAAAACATTATCACCCACTGTAACTGGCATTCCACATTGTCATGGAGCTCTACTAACTTTTCCAGGTAGGAAGGATGGAAAGCAGGAGGCAGCATCATAATGTAAGTGAGTCCTGGAAGGCTGTTTGCAGGCTAAAGGAATAATCTGAGCTCCTTACAGCCTCAATGACCCCAGAAGTCACTTGATCACAAGAAGGCTAAGCTTAATTAAAACTACCAGAAAGCTAGAGTTGGTGGTGCCCCGTCATACCTCACTTCCCTTTTTATTTCCCCAAACCCAGGGTCAACCCTCTCTGGTTTGTCACTTTCTTCTTCTTCCTTTAAAAACTTAGGATTTGGTCCCACAATCTTTTCTCCCTACTTTTTTTCCTCCAGTAGCTCAGTTTATCATGGCTGAAAATGTCAACTAATGAACTATATCTGTGTAGTTAAAGCATTAAATCCTTGTGTGTCTGCCAATGATAACAGCTTAACATTGGCCTTTTGGAGACAAGTGTACATATTTACTGCCTAACCAATTGGGCTTTTTAAGTATTCCAGTCAAAATGAAAGTTTCCTTAACGTCACTCATGATGCAGTCTTTCACAGGCAACCTAGGATTGGGGTGCTTTTAAATTACATCATGTAGGCAGACAACTACTTGACCTGTATATAAGTACATATTAATAAAAAGAGACCGAGCATATTTTAAATCTTTCATTGTGTCATGCACTGTGGATGACATACATTTTTATTTGGCTTGGATTTCCATTTAAAACTAAAAAGGCCAACAAAATTTTTAAACTACCATATCTGTATTATTGTATGCATTTTAATAAACATGGCACACAGGGACAAAGGTGACAGACTGGTTTGAATAAGTCTACAGTTTAAGCTCTACAGGATGCAAAACTCGAGATAACTAAAAATATTCAGCATCACATGGAAAAAAGAGCTGAAAACATTTCTTTTGCTTTTTTTACTCAATTGGTGGAGAGCAGGGGTGCTGCATCTTTGCTAAATGCTATTTTCCATAAAAAAAAAAAACTAAATTGCCCTTCAGCTTGTTAGTGTTCCTACCACCTAATAAAGTTTGACATTTTATAAAACATCAGCTATTGAAACTATGGAATGGATTATAGCAATTGTTCTACTTTAGAAATGCTATGAGAGTTTGTCAAAATGAACGGGTTCAAGCCTTTGCTCTATGAATTTCCTGAATTTGGTCAACAACAGTAACAGCTAACAAATACTGGATGCCCATGAAATGCTAGACATTATGCTGCATGTGCTACACATACTAACTTAGTCTTGACAATTCCAACAATTCTATGAGGCAGATACTATTATCATTCCCATTTTAAAGTTGAGGAAATGAATGTTTTGAGGATTTAAACACTTACGCAAACAGGGTAGAGCAGATATTTGAACCTACGCAGTAGAATTCCACACCCCACTTTCCTAACTTATGTCAGAATTCTGAATCTCTGCTTTCTTTCTATAAAAAGAGTATAATAACATCAGCATATTTAAAAAGCTTGCCCTTTACTTAGCTAAGTATCTCCTACTCCTTCTATTTTGTTTCCTGTGCAAATGAGATTACTTATATTGATCTACCTGAACAGGCATTGCCCATAGATTGGGACACAGGAACAAGAACCACATTAGTTGATTGGTTTCAATGGCAACCAAGTTATTGATCTGTCCCAGGGTCATCTCACCCATGGATAAATTAGATGTAGACAGCCTAAGGATTTTATTGTATATCATCGCCTGCAAAAGAGAAAAACAAAAAAAGTACTTGAAGCTCTAAACTTAATCAACACTGTATTTATTCACTTTTATTGAAAAGATAACATTTTAAATTTTTCTGGAGAAAAAGGAGGGGAAAAAACCTAGAATGCCATCTTCTTAAGTCAACCACTCTCTTCATTTTAGCATAGTTACTTTCTGACTCAATTACATACAAACTTAATTTTCTGGCAATATAATCAAAATGTATACTCAATTTCAAACATAAGCTCTAGAACAAATTAAAACAGAGATAAAGTTTTCAAAAGTTCCTTCTTTCTTTCTTTTCTCCTTCTTTCTTCCTTTCAGCAGCCTCCACACCCAGCATGAAGCCCAACCCAGGGCTTGAACTCACGACCCTGAGATCAAGACCTGAACTGAGATCAAGAGTCGATGCTTAACCCACTGAGCTACCCAGGTGCCCCCCAAATTCTCTTATTATTACAAAACATTTTAAAAATTGTGGGGGTTACTAATTAGCTCTATTTCTTTTATTAAGCAGCTCCTAGAAACGTTGTAGTATCAGAGTAAAAACAGAATCGTGAAAAACAAAATTACCTCCACTACCCTTCTATCATCAGATGGTATATGGCATTTTCAAAACACAAAGATCGTTCAAAGCTTGTACATACCAGCAGAGCTCCACGGAGGTTAATGCCAGTCTCTATGGTTACATAGTAGGAAGCCTGCAAAAACGTCCTTTGCAGAATAAGGGCCAAGAAAAGAAGAACTGCTAGTACATAAGCATTTTCAAGAAATTCCTTTGATGAAAGCTTTTCTGAAATCTTGTCCCAAAAGAAAAAGACAAATTAAAACTGCTTTTTTCATATGCCAGGGGTACAGTTCACATCTATCAAATGACACATGATTTTTAAATGTAAAAACTCAATGTCTTTATAACAGCAGTGAAATGAGCCACAACAAGGCCATTTTGGCTTTTCTTCATCCTGTCCACAGATACAAATTCAAACTAATTCAATGCATAAAATCCCAAGTTGATCATTAAGATTGCTGGAAATGCCAGATAGTTAGAAAAAAGGTACACATTAATCTTTAAAAACTTGAGTATATTTTCTGCAAAGATACATTATTCCATCCTGAGACGTAGTAACTGAAGATTGAAATTAATTTAGACTATAATTTTGAAGTAGAAACCACAAAACTGGTAGTTGGTCAGCAAGACCGCTAATACAGAAATACAACTTCTATAGCTTTGCTAATTAAAATATTATCAAAATTATTAAAGTTACTAAAATAATTCCACATAGTTGACTTAATTTAATTTTCATTTATCTTAATTTATATTAACAAAATAAATTATAAACTATAAAATATGTAATGTGGTTATTGACATTGACACTTCCAGGGACAAAACACAACTTATGAAATTGAGTAGGACTATGACCAAAGTCATCATAAGGACATACAAAACTGCTTTTTGTTTGTAACAATAGTATGTGGTAACTTATTAGTTAGAAGTGAGGGAAAGGTAACACTCAAATAAGTACATCATGTCAATCTGGGCAATCTTCGTTTTTTATGGTTTAGATCCATTAAATTCTGTTTCTGGTCCCTTCCTCTTCTTTCATGAGGATACACAGAAATGTGTAAGTTCTGTTCCTTCTCAGAAAAATGTGTGGTTAATACACGTAAGGGAGAGAGATGATAGAAAAATTCTATGTGGAATGTATGGAATGTAATCAGGTTTGTAGGGGTAAAAAAACATCACAAAAGTACATTCAATGGTGAAAATATCTGGTTCACTTTCATAATAATTGAGCACCAGTATGTGCAAGTGACTAGGCTACACATTGTGAACATAAATATTAACAGTTCACAGTCCTTCTATTTAAAGAGCTAACCGCCTAGAAACATAAGAATATCCATAAATAATATGCTTCATTTAAAGAACATTTATAGCAAGTGCCAAGGTGAAATAAACAATGTGTTGGATAGTACAAAGAAGAGTCAAATACCAACCAGAACAATCAGAAAATCTTCACTGAGGAGGTGGCATTTGATGTAGGCTTTGAGAATGCATGAAATTTTAGTAAGTGAAGAAAAAAGGACAGAAAATTAGGTTGAGGGAATAGAAAAGGAAAATTGATGCATAACTAGACTAGAGTTTCTAGTCTAGTGACCTAGAGAAATCAACTCTTACAAAGAAATTGGGAAGTTCATGATGAGACTTTCTTAAGAACAGAGAATAAAAGACTATATATTTATAACAGCAAATACATAGTATTTTGTATTGTATGCCCCCCCAAAAGTAGCATGATATCTAATAAAAATATTATAATGTGATTTGCCCTGATCATAATGTGAAACAGGGTGATGGCTTTTATCATATAAGAAAAATGTATATAGTACAAATCACATTGCTAATGTGTCTTCCCTAATGTACTCATGCATGAAAGTTCTTCAAAGGGTTGCTAAAAATATCAAAGAAAATAATCAATGTGAAAGTTCTGAGCATGGCTTCTGGCACATAGTAGATACTCATTAAATGTTTATAGGCTCTGAATCTGAGAAATAATTTTGTTGAACAGATCCATTCGATGAATGCATAAACATATAATTTTCTCTACAAGGAAAATTATTGTTTTCTTCCTTTTAAATACATTCAATTCTCTGTAAATAAGCTTGTTTGAACTGTTCAAAGAACTGCATTAATAAAAAGGAACAATTATAATGAAATCTGCCAATAATATGTTTCCTTTCAGAAGCACCACAAACTTACCCCTGTTGTGTTATTTGTCCCATTCTGAGTTTCATTCACACGCTGAACTATTCCAGAAATACACAGAGGTCCAGCAAAACCCAGTAAGTCTGCAAGATAGCGGAATGTGCTACTAAGTAGAATGGGTCGCCCAAAAGCTCTGTACATTGCTAGCCATATAGATGGAGTCCGGTTTGGATGATCTGCTACTTTTTTCTGAAAGAAAGGAAAAAAAGCACAGATGAACCAAACTAAAAATTTAGCACAGCAATTAATCTCAGCAACTGTGGCAATTCCTTTTGATATCTCTGATGATATTTTAAGCTTATAAGTAAGTGTTAATGAGTCCCTTTAATACAGTATGCATACTCCATAAACCATTGCATTTTATGCAAACAGTAGCTACTGAACACCTTTTAATGGGATAGAATGAGGAGTAAATAGGTCAGATTTTCAAAGACTTTGCATTATTTTTAGCTGTCAATGGATAACTCAAAATTCTTAAGGTCAAATTAATTTTAATTCTTTTTTGTTTGGAACACGGGTATCTGTCATGAATATTACCAAATACCATTGTATGGAAAAGAAGATCATAAAGTGTAAAAATGAATCTTATTGGAAGACCAGACAAAATTTCTGGAGTTACTCCATCACAAGATATCTATCACAAGCTAAAGGTATTTTACTACAAGGTATTTTACTACAAGCTAAACAAAACAGATCATCTCAGCCTCAAATTGTTTCTCTTTCAGGTATTTCCTTTCTCCATGAATAGTAGTCAGTACTGTTTAAAGTTGTGTTAGAGTTGTGTTTCCAAGTTATTTGACAAAGAAATGCAAAATTGAAGAATGGCATATATTTAAGCCAACGCATGGTTTCACCCATCTCCAGTGGTTTGTTGAAAAGGTTTTAAGACCTGAACAATCATCATAATTAAGTCTTAGAGAGGAAGTGGATAACTTTTTTTTTAAACTTTCATTGTGAGAAGCCAACTCAGTGGAATAGAATTCGATTGCGTTTCATATTCAATTCCCTATTAGATAAATAATTTGATTATTTTTAAAAGTTTATTAATGCAAGATGTAAACTCACTAAATTCAAGCTGATATGTGTTATAAAGAGTACTCAGAACACTTATACTAAAAAAAAAAAAAGAACATTTAAACTATGTGTAGGCTATACTGTTAATCTTTACTTCAGCAAAGGAGTTTTAAAAATATTATGCAATACTTTTCCCAGAGGTGAAACCAAAGAGATGACTCAGGTTCATTTGTAGTAACCATTTCCTGCAATATTAATTTCATAAGACACATTTTTGACATAAAACAGAGGTCATTTTCATCATTTACCATAAATGCTTTGTTGTCTTGATTTAGAACAGACAAGAATTGTAACTGATTCACCATACCCTACCCCTTTCCAATGTTGTCGTGAATACTAATTATTTCAATTGCAATAATATTTGTAGATGACTGCCATATAAATTACATCTACCATTGTGGAGAGCACACATGACTATATAAATAATAACAAGACAAATTCAAAATATCCAAAGACTCATATTTAAGGTTTATAAGGCAATTTCTCAAAGAAAGTACCAGAAGAAACCAATTTTGACAGACACATAGGATGATACATGGAATAGGTAGGTAACTTTATTTAATTCAATTTCTCAAATCTGAAATACAGGCTCCAAATTTTAGTCAATAATTAATTTAGGGATTTTAGTTTCTTAAATGTGATTATTATGATTTATTTTTACCTTTATACAAAAAAATTATTGACCAGAGAGTTGAAAAAACTTAATAACAATTCCATGAATTATTAACATTATATGGTAATAAGGATTAGATATACATGATCTTTGAACTTAATTTTTACTTTCCACTTGGTTCCAGAAAAAAAAAAAAAAAAAAAAACAAGTGTTCCCTCGATCCCTCCTCTATCTCCTCTGCTGGTATATTCTCAGTGGCCCAATTCACATGACTCAAAATTACTGGGAAAGACATAGGCAGAAAATCTGACCTTTCTTAACCATTTAAGCTTAGTGACTTTATACTTAGCAGACCCATTTTCTTCTTCTTTCTTTCTTTAAGGTTTTGTTTGTTTATTTGACAGAGCTACAGAGAGACAGAACACAACTGGGGGAGTGGGAGAGGGAGAAGCAGGCTCCCTGATGAGTAGGGAGCTGATGTGGGGCTCGATCTCAGGATCCTGGGATCATGACCTGAGCCAAAAGCAGACGCTTAATGATTGAGCCACCCAGGTGCCCCAACAGAGCCAGTTTCTACAATTATGGACATGAAAAACAGATATTAAATTACCTTTTGTTCTTCATATGCATCTTTCAGGCAAACATAATTTGTTACCGCCCTCATTGCTATTGGTAATTTTCCAATTGCTTTCAAGTCAATAGGTTTTTTATGAGCAGATATGATAAGTGTGTTCATCCACCAGTATGTGGCTTTTGACAACAAATTCACAAATGGTTGAAGAAATCTCACACCCAGATCCTGGAGGTCTTCAGGAGGCTTTACTTTCTGAGGATTCATGAAGAATACATATCTCTGTGGCAAGAAAAATTCCACAAAATAATAATCAACCCAATTTTTTTTCCACATATTAAAATAAAATTTTAACCTTTTCTACATTTTCATTTCAGGAGGACAAAAATGTATATTTTAGTACCTCTTACATTTCTTTGGAAACATTTTTTGAAATAATTTCCCTTAAATGCCAGATTTTATGATTAATGCATTTATGGACACTTCCCAAAAAAAAACATACAGATTATTTCTTTAAAAGATAGTTATTACTAAGAACCAGTCTTTCATGATAGCCTGTGATAGGGTCAACTAAATAAAGATTTTTACATTATTTAGATTTTTTTTAATGTGTTGACACCATTATTGAGTCACTTTCTGGTAATACATGGTTTGGCTGATGTTCACTAACTTCTCCACTATTCCTTAGAGCTTGTGACTTGCCATTCAGAGCAAACACAAAGTGTTCTGGTAGAAAATGAATATTGAAAAATCATTCACAATTATGTCACACAACATAACCACATTCTCTGATACAAAACACAAGAAGCATGAGTTTTGACTGTGTGACTTTGGATATAGCTAGTTAACTCTGTAGAAGTTTCTTCAGCAGTGAAATGAGCAAACATATTGTCTTCTTTTCATTTTGAAATTTCTAGAAATACAGAAGTTTGCTTATTAATATAGGTGTGCTTGAGACAAATCATGGATAATGGAATTTCCTGATGAAAACAATTTCATCCGTAATATGAACTAAGCATAGTGTTTGGCACATAACAATCAATCAATATTTACAAATGAATAAATAGATTCTAGGGTCATACTGAGATTTCTGGAACACTAATGCCCTGAAACTTAGTGATTAGTTCAACTTTTATACACAGAGAGGATATACATTTGTTCATCCTCTTGAATACTAGTAATTTCTAGCTGACTATAATCTTTAATATTGGGGTCTTGAATTCCAGCAATTAAAAAAAAAATGATGAGATACCTACTCTGACCCGAATCACATTGATCTCCACAGCCATGAGGAGTCCATTCAAGATGACCATCATGCCAGTGATGCAGAAACGCAGGTCTGATACTCCCCAACCGAACTCCCAGTACTTAACCAATTTTATGGTTTTTGTAATAAAGGCCATTACCCAATACAGAAATAGGGCTGGAAAAATAAAAAAGAAAAGGAAAAAGATGCAGTCTTTCCCTGATATTTTTTTTTAACTTCACTGACAATTCAATATAAATATAATGCTTTTTTTTTAAAGATTTTATTTATTTATTTGACAGATCACAAGTAGGCAGAGAGGCAGGCAGAGAGAAAAAGGAGGAAGCAGGCTCCCTGTTGAGCAGAGAGCTCGATGCGGGGCTCGATCCCAGGGTCCTGGGATCATGACCTGAGCCGAAGGCAGAGGCTTTAACCCACTGAGCCACCCATGCGCCCCTATAATGCTTTTTAATATCAAAGATAATTTTAAATATTTTATTTCCACATAATTTTATTTTTTAAGAAAACAACACGTATGCCCCAGGGCACTTTTAGAGTTTTGAACTGAAGGTGTGGTAATGACTATAAAATGCTAGTGCTTCCACTCTGTAGTAGATGGACAGATGTAAAAAGACACGTAAATAGGAATAATCTACACTCCAGAACTTATGTGTAGTTCTGTTGACTTTAAAATTAATTCTATCCCCCGGTCTTTTTTTTTAAGAAGTCCCGATTATACTATATGAAGAATTCACAAGTTGTTATCTCTGTCACCGATCTAATAGGTAAGTGTTTTGCAGCTGTCACAGGTATGTCTAATGGTATTACCTGGAATTATTATGGAATGCACACTAGCTATATAATGGGGTTTCTGCTTTACAGATCAAAATTCAAGTAGTAAGTTAACTCTTCTCATGCAAATGGCTTACAACACCACACATCTCCACAAAGTGACGAGAAGAATGATGATCCTACAGAACAAAGCCAGACTTTATGCAGTGAGTTGAGAAAGGTAGGGATCTATACCTTCTCCTAACCACAGCCAGCCTTTCATAACAAATATGAGATGGACACAATTTACTAGAAATCAATGGTCCGGTATATTTAAAACTTTGAATAAGGGTCAGTACAAGTGAATACGGGTTGAGAAAGAAGAAATCTGAAACACACATGAGATTATCCATTGTATAACACTTAACAGAGTTACTAAAGTTTAAAAGTGGCCACAATTTCCATAGTTAAAAAGAACGGAAACTTTGGCATATAAGCTCATTATCTATCTTGCTCTAGCATAAAATAGAAAACATCAGAATAGATTTGGGGGGAAAAAACTACTATATGCTACTACATGCTACCTAAAGAGACTTCGTCTTGGGGCACCTGGGTGTCTTAGTTGGTTCAGCATCCATCTCTTGATTTTGTCTCATGTCATGATTTCATAGTCCTGGGATTGAGGCCCACATTGGGCTCTGTGCTCAGCACATAGTCTGCTTAGGATTCTCTCTCTCCCTTTCCCTTTGCCCCTCCCCCTGTTCATGTGCTCTGTCTCTCTCCCTCAAACAAATAAAATCTTTTTAAAAAGAGAGAGATTCATCTCACATATGAAGAAACAGATTGAAAGTAAGTAGAAGGAAAAAATACACAATGAAAACAGTAAACACAAGAAATCTGGAGTGGCTATATTAGTTTTAGATATAGTAGACTTTAAAACAAAGAATACTATCATCAAAAATACTAATCCAGGGGTGCTTGGGTGGCTCAGTGGGTTAAAGCCTCTGCCTTCGGCTCAGGTTGTGATCCCAGGGTCCTGGGATCAAGCCCCGCATCAGGCTATCTGCTCAGCAGGGAGCCTGCTTCCTCTTCTCTTTCTGCCTGCTTCTCTGCCTACTTGTGATCTCTGTTTGCCAAATAAATAAATAAAATCTTTGAAAAAAATACTAATCCAAAGGGATACACAGACCCGGATGTTTATAGCAATATTATCTACAATAACCAATTTATAGAAATAGCCCAAGTATCCATCAGGCGAATGGATAAAGAAAATGTGGTATACACACAATGGAATATTGCTCAGCCACAAAAAATGAACTCTTGCTATTTGCAATGACAGGGATGGAGTGAGAGAGTATTATGCTATGCAAAATAGGAGAGTCAGAGAAAGACAAATATATGATTTCACTCATATGTGGAATTTAAGAAATAAAACAAATGAGCAAAGGGAAAAGAGAGAGAGAGAAGCAAACTAAGAAACAGACTCTTAACTTAGAGAACAAACTGATGGTTACCAGAGGGAGGTGGGTGGGGGATTAAGGAGTATACTTGTGATGAGCACCGGGTGATATATGTAAGTGTTAAATCACTATATGTTTACCCGAAACTAATACTATACTGTATGTTAACTAACTGGAATTTAAATAAAAACTTGAAAAAAAAAGAGTATTACCAGAAACTTCAAAAACTTCTAATAATGACAAAGGTCAATTTTTTAGAGACACAACTATAAAAAGTACAAATTTACCAATACATAAAAAATACTAAATTTAGATTTAGATCTGAATCCTATTAACCACTATGAGTTTTGGGAAGTTACAAGTTTCAAGAAGGTCAACTTCGAGACTTCCCACACAATTCGATAACTAGAAGTCTCCAAATATTTGGAAGTTAAACAACATAGTTCTAACTAACTGCATGTTGAAAAAGAAATCACTAAGGAAATCAGAAAGTATTTGAACTAAATTATAATAAAAATAGTACATACTAGAGGGAGGAGTCAAGATGGCGGAGAAGTAGCAGGCTGAGACTACTTCAGGTAGCGGGAGATCAGCTAGATAACTTATCTAAAGATTGCAAACACCTACAAATCCAACGGGAGATCGAAGAGAAGAAGAACAGCAATTCTAGAAACAGAAAATCAACCACTTTCTGAAAGGTAGGACTGGCAGAGAAGTGAATCCAAAGCGACGGGAAGATAGACCGCGGGGGGAGGGGCCGGCTCCCGGCAAGCGGCGGAGCAACGGAGCACAAAATCAGGACTTTTAAAAGTCTGTTCCGCTGAGGGACATCGATCCAGAGGCTTAACCGGGGTAAAGCCCACGCAGGGTCAGTGTGGCCTCAGGTCCCGCAGGGTCACAGAAGGATCGGGGGTGTCTGAGTGTCGCAGAGCTTGCAGGTATTAGAACGGGGAAGCCGGCTACAGAGACAGAGCCAAGGAGTGAGCTCACAGCTCGGGGTTACCTTGAACCGGTCGCAGGCTAGGTCAGCTCGGAGCGCGGCCGGAGGCCAGGGTGATGGGAGTAATTGGGCGCTGTTCTCTGAGGGCGCAGTGAGTGGGGCCCCGGGCTCTCGGCTTCTCCGGGCCGGAGACTGGGAGGCCGCCATCTTCATTCCCATCCTCCGGAACTCTACGGAAACCGCTCAGGGAACAAAAGTTCCCGAAAGGGAACCCGAGCGGATTACTCAGCCCGGACCCTGTTAGGGGCGGTGCAACTCTGCCTGGGGCAAAGACACTTGAGAATCACTACAACAGGCCCCTCCCCCAGAAGATCCACAAGAAACCCAGCCAGGACCAAGTTCACCTACCAAGGAGTGCAGTTTCAATACCAAGGAGAGCAGCGGAATTCCAGAGGAGGAGAAAGCAAAGCACGGAACTCATGGCTTTCTCCCCATGATTCTTTAGCCTTGCAGTTAATTTAATTTTTTTTTCTTTTTCAATATTTTTTTTTCTTCTTCTACTAAATATTTTTAACTTTTACCCTTTTCTTTTTTAACGTTTTTTAACTAGTTTATCTAATATATATATATTTTTTTCCTTTTTATATTTTTTCATTATTGGTTTTCTTTTTTTATTTGTTTCTTTTTTCTTTCTTTTTTTTTTTTTTTTCTTTCTGAACCTCTTTTTTATCCCCTTCCTTCCCCCTCACGATTTGGGATCTCTTCTGATTTGGCTAAAGCATATTTTCCTGGGGTTGTTGCCACCCTTTTAGTATTTTACTTGTTCCTTCATATACCCTTATCTGGACAAAATGACAAGGCGGAAAAATTCACCACAAAAAAAAGAACAAGAGGCAGTACCAAAGGCTAGGGACCTAATCAATACAGACATTGGTAATATGTCAGATCTAGAGTTCAGAATGACGATTCTCAAGGTTCTAGCTGGGCTCGAAAAAGGCATAGAAGATATTAGAGAAACCCTCTCAGGAGATATAAAAGCCCTTTCTGGAGAAATAAAAGAACTAAAATCTAATCAACTTGATATAAAAAAAGCTATTAATGAGGTGCAATCAAAAATGGAGGCTCTCACTGCTAGGATAAATGAGGCAGAAGAAAGAATTAGCGATATAGAAGACCAAATGACAGAGAATAAAGAAGCTGAGCAAAAGAGGGACAAACAGCTACTGGACCACAAGGGGAGAATTCGAGAGATAAGTGACACCATAAGACGAAACAACATTAGAACAATTGGTATTCCAGAAGAAGAAGAAAGAGAGAGGGGAGCAGAAGGTATATTGGAGAGAATTCCCCCAATATGGCAAAGGGAACAAGCATCAAAATCCAGGAGGTGAAGAGAACCCCCCTCAAAATCAATAAGAATAGGTCCACACCCCGTCACCTAATAGTAAAATTTACAAGTCTTAGAGACAAAGAGAAAATCCTGAAAGCAGCCCTGGAAAAGAAGTCTGTAACATACAATGGTAAAAATATTAGATTGGCAGCACACTTATCCACAGAGACCTGGCAGGCCAGAAAGAGCTGGCATGATATATTCAGAGTACTAAACGAGAAAAACATGCAGCCAAGAATACTATATCCAGCTAGGTTATCATTGAAAATAGAAGGAGAGATTAAAAGCTTCCAGGACAAACAAAAACTGAAAGATTTTGCAAACACCAAGCCAGCTCTACAGGAAATATTGAAAGGGGTCCTCTAAGCAAAGAGAGAGCCCAAAAGTAGTAGATCAGAAAGGAACAGAAACAATATACAATAACAGTCACCTTACAGGCAATACAATGGCACTAAATTCATATCTCTCAATAGTTACCCTGAATGTTAATGGGCTAAATGCCCCAATCAAAAGACACAGGGTATCAGAATGGATAAAAAAACAAAACCCATCTATATGTTGCCTACAAGAAACTCATTTTAAACCCAAAGACACCTTCAGATTTAAAGTGAGGGGG